CATGTTTCTGTGGATACTGTTTTTAACTAAATATGATAAAATAATGTGATAAAATGGTTAAAGTTTGCTCAAAAAGAGGTTTTCTGTAGAAGATCGAGGATCGAATGAAACACAAGGCAAGGTTAAAACGGACTTCTAGATGTATCCGACGGGTACATTTGATCAACGCTTTTCAGACCGGCAAAAGTAACCGAATAGGCTGCGCATTTTACTGCGATGATCATGTTAACTTTCATACCTTCATCCGCAGTTCAAAACAATTTATGAATCATTTCATATATTTCAATTCGTGCTTACAAGATCTCCATAACTATATGTAAACGCAACCTTTTTATGGAATCTTCATTTAAGGCCAGAACTAACACTAACCGCCAAACGGAAACTGCCTTATGCAAAAACTTTTAAAATTGACGCGTTAGTTTTAAAGGCCTGGATCTAGATGGGGTTAAATTCAAATGTAAGCGAAACACTTGCAATATTTGAAAGAGCACTTGAGGAAAACGATACAATACTGGGAACTTAATACTTAAAAAACAATGTCTTAAAAATAAAGCTATTTGTTATTTTCCTCTGAGACACCTGGAGAATAAAATTCTCACAGAGCCACAGCCTAAAAAAGCTAAGCTGCTCTCTCGCATCAGAAAGTCCAAACTGTATTTCTTAATGCTGGACAGAGATTCAATCAATATCTGAAAGCGCATTTTTAGTTCTCTCTGAGACACCTGGAGAATAAAATTCTCACAGAGCCACAGCCTAAAAAGGCTAAGCTGCTCTTTTGTATCAGGAAGGCCAAACGTTTTTACTTAATTCTAAACAGGGCGTCAAACAATATCTGAAAGCTCATTTTTAGTTCCCTCTGAAACACCTGGAGAATATAATTCTCACAGAGCCACAGCCTCAAGGCTAAGCTGCTCTGTTGCATCAGGAAGGCCAAACATGCTAAACAGGGGTTCAAACAATATCTGAAAGCTCATTTTTAGTTCTCTCTGAACCACCTGGAGAATCAGTAAAATTCTCACACAGTCACAGCCTGAGAAGGCTAAGCTGCTCTGTTGCATCAGGAAGGGCAAACTGTTTTACTTAAAGGGACTGTGACACGCTTCTGCGCATGTGCGGCAACTTGATTTGTCATTCTGGTGGACAGTTTTTCAAGATTGGCGTTTTGGTGAAGAAAAAGGTTTGTTTTCAAATTATTTTTAATTGCGGATCGGAGACTGGTTTTCTCGCGTGGGTACATAAAAATACACGTTGCTACATGTTTGCTTCAAAGCAGGACAGGGTTGGTAATCTTATTCTTATCAGCTGCAACATTTATCTGAGGAATACCAGAGAATAAATATGAATTATGGGGATATATAAAATCGAACAAAAACGTCCGGAAGACTCGCGCTTCGCGAACAATGAATTTTGAATTATGTAAATTTCCTCGCGTGCATGTTACTCGCTTCCGATTGGTTCAAAGACAATCAGCTACTGTCACAGCTCACGCAAGCGCACTATCGTGACACAGTCCCTTTAATGCTGGACATGCACTATCATCAATGTTTCCTTTAGGATTAGTTTTGTTTGAAAATTTAAAGGCTGGTCATCACCATCCTCTCTCAACAACACTAACATGCATTCAAGGAAGTTCTTAACAACTATACCATCTATTATTGATCACAAGTTATGAATAACTTCAAGTACCTTTAAATCATGCATGACATAAGAAAAAAACTCGAGTTCAATTAAAGCACAAATTCTCATCATTAAACTTTAAAAAAATCAAATACAGGCATTTCAAATCGAGATTCGAGTCACCGCAAAAACACGAACAAGATGGTCTAAGCATCAAACCTAAAACTCACAATCACCTGAGTTTGACCAAAGCTCAAATTAAAAGTGCAGTTACTCTGTTTACTAAAAATATCTGATTCATGTGGTTACACTCCTCATACCCTTAAAACAATTAACTTCACAGATTTAATCAGTGTGAAAATATCCACTACGATCCACACTTAAAAGCTGAACTGTGACTGAACTGAACTGTTTCAGTGCGATCAGGCTTAAGAAATAGTGATCTCCATCAACATTCTCCATGAACATTATACTTTCACACAATTAGCAGTTATTTAGAATTTATAAAGTGATCGAATGATCGCTGTCGACCTTAACACGGGTACGTTTTTGTGCTAAAATAAAAATAGACTTACCTCGCTTCGGCTGATGTTTAGAAAATTCAGCAGGACTGAAAAGCATCAACGTACAGCTTACATAATCAACAACTACGTGAATTCCCGAGTTTCTGACTCGACGGTCATGCGCCACCGTCAGGAAATCATACGATATTGCTTCTCGAACGAATCCCTCATTTTAATCCCCAATTCAGTAATCCAAGACCAAGTACCTTTTCCAGATCTTCTCCGCACGACGAAACGCGTTCTCTGACTTCTCTGGCCGCTTCCCGCTATATTTTCTAGTAGTTGGAGGGAATTTAGTCCTTCTTTGATCGCTTTAAACCCGCTTTCGTCTGCATTCCATCGGCGTATTAAAGGTAACAAGAGTCGTTTTTCAACAGAATAGAAATTATTTCTATTTACTTTTGTCAGTTCTTTGAAAACTGAAGAAGTATGCGCATTTGGAAAAAAGTAGAGCATTTGAGCTAATAATTTGTACTTCAGTTTGAAATACGGATTAGCTGGTGTGTCTCGCGTTTGAGATTTATGCAACTGTCTCCCAAAAGTCAAACTCAGGTGACTGCTACCGCAGAGATGCCAATCTATTCGGAATTATACGTAAGAAAAACCCCTCGTTTAAAGCCAAAACTAGAATAAGTCAATGAAACGGCAAGTCGTTCAGTAAATATGTACCTTGGACTTTTCGGCCCAGCGGTATGATTGTTTCCACGAAGGAAGTTTACTTTCTACAAAACACCGGCGTCATTCGGGTCCATTCCCAGTTCAGTGAACATGAATGACGCGTCTTTTTCTAAACTGAACATTGGAATGTGACGTCTGGTCTAAAATGCTAAATCTCGCCAATCATCGTCAGTTTATTCATTTCCAAACTATTTAATGATAACAGTTTTTTGGAAAAATCATAAACGATGGCTTTTTTTAAATCATGCACAGATGGCTTTTAATAGATACTAAAAATGAATACCCCCGACTCTAAAAATACTCAAAACCGCCCATCCTTTTCTTGCGGTCTCCATTTTCTAAGGGCCTTCACTGGGTGACCAATACTAAACAACGCCGGGAATAGCTTTGAAAATTTCACCTAATGTTCTGAACTGGACTGTATCTTTACCGCAGTTGATTTACTTTTGACTAATATCAAACAAAAGCTATAATCCTCTGATACGATATCAATGATTTGGCAAAGACAGCCTTCTTATCTTTAACACATTTTACAAGTGCGCTAGGATCAAAGATAGTTCTTTCAAGCAAATGTCAACAGAACGAATGATCTAGCGGGTGAACGGTTCATTTCCTCACGATTGGAAAAGTGTCAAAATGTCGAGATTTCACGGTTCTATGACTCGCACAGAAAATTGACCATTGATTAGAGCTAACAAGCAGCATATCGTTCATTTGACTGCTGGTTGCGTCACAGAGAACAGTACCTCGCAGTTTCCGTGGTAAGTACGCTGCTTCCTTTTCAGTTACATAATCAACTACTTCTATTTTCTATGAGTGTATCTCAGTGTTCGTGGCTGAAGCAGCAGTCGGTTAATTGGTGATTAGGCTAGTGCTCTGAGCTCGTCTTCCACATAGCCATAGGGTAAGTTCGAGTTTTCGTTCCCAGAAGCTCATATGTAAGTTGTGTTTGCGTTTGCGTTTGCTGATGATTCTCGTCCCTGCAAGCGATTGTCTACAGCATAAGTTTGGGGCTACCTGCTTGAACGGCAGAAATCTTAATGTGAGAACAGTTAGTAGTTGGAGGGAATTTAGTCCTTCTTTGATCGCTTTAAACCCGCTTTCGTCTGCATTCCATCGACGTATTAAAGGTACGAAGAGTCGTTTTTCAACAGAATAGAAATTATTTCTATTTACTTTTGTCAGTTCTTTGAAAACTGAAGAAGTATGCGCATTTGGAACGAGATAGAATTATATAAGAGTGGTGAAAAAAGGAGAGCATTTGTAGCTAATAATTTGTACTTCAGTTTGAAATACGGATTAGCTGGTGTGTCTCGCGTTTGAGATTTATGCAACTAGCTCCCAAAAGTCAAACTCAGGTGACTGCTACCGCAGAGATGCCAATCTATTCGGAATTATAAGTAAGAAAAACCCCTCGTTTAAAGCCAAAACTAGAATAAGTCAATGAAACGGCAAGTCGTTCAGTAAATATGTACCTGGGACTTTTCGGCCCAGCGGTATGATTGTTTATTCCTACAAAACAGCGGCGTCATTCGGGTCCATTCCCAGTTCAGTGAACATGAATGACGCGTCTTTTTCTAAACTGAACATTGGAATGTGACGTCTGGTCTAAAATGCTAAATCTCGCCAATCATCGTCAGTTTATTCATTTCCAAACTATTTAATGATAACAGTTTTTTGGAAAAATCATAAACGATGGCTTTTTTTAAATCATGCACAGATGGCTTTTAATAGACACTAAAAATGAATACCCCCGACTCTAAAAATACTGAAAACCGCCCATCCTTTTCTTGCGGTCTCCATTATGTAAGGGCCTTCACCGGGTGACCAATGCTAAACAACGCCGGGAATAGCTTTGAAAATTTCACCTAATGTTCTGAACTGGACTGTATCTTTACCGCAGTTGATTTACTTTTGACTAATATCAAACAAAAGCTATAATCCTCTGATACGATATCAGTGATTTGGCAAAGACAGCCTTCTTATCTTTAATACATTTTACAAGTGCGCTAGGATCAAAGATAGTTCTTTCAAGCAAATGTCAACAGAACGAATGATCTAGCGGGTGAACGGTTCATTTCCTCACGATTGGAAAAGTGTCAAAATGTCGAGATTTCACGGTTCTATGACTCGTACAGAAAATTGACCATTGATTAGAGCTGACAAGCAGCATAACATTCATTTGACTTCTGGTTGCGTCACAGAGAACAGTACCTCGCAGTTTCCGTGGTAAGTACGCTGCTTCCTTTTCAGTTACATAATCAACTACTTCTATTTTCTATGAGTGTATCTCAGTGTTCGTGGCTGAAGCAGCAGTCGGTTAATTGGTGATTAGGCTAGTGCTCTGAGCTCGTCTTCCACATAGCCATAGGGTAAGTTCGAGTTTTCGTTCCCAGAAGCTCATATGTAAGTTGTGTTTGCGTTTGCGTTTGCTGATGATTCTAGTCCCTGCAAGCGATTGTCTACAGCATAAGTTTGGGGCTAACTGCTTGAACGGCAGAAATCTTAATGTGAGAACAGTTGAGGTTCAGCTTGATTCTGTAGCCGATACTAAACTACCTGGCATAAAGAGAGACAACTGTTTTTAAATAACGGCATCGAATATAGGAAAGCGACTTGGCCTCTTGAAAAGAACAGATAAATTTCTGTGACTGAAAGCTGAGAAGTTTGTTTTACGACTCACTTATCCAGCTAATACTTGACTACGGGGGTTACTTGGGGACATGAAGCAAACCGAAGCCGCCCGTCCAAGACGTAATCAATTTACAGAAACGATGCGCCAGAGTAATCCTAGACAAAAAATGAGACACCCCCCTCGGGGCCTTTATTTAGAGACCTTAACGTCATGCCATGATTTGATAAAAGACAAGAACGAGCTTACAGTGGCATCCAGTTACGCTTACTTGGAGATTAGATCGAGAAGGTTTAGGATAACTGTATAGGAATATTTTTATTTATAAAAGTGACCCTGTTCTTTTGGCCGGTATTACCGGAGAAAATGGTACCGTCCAGCGGGACATCCTGAGTTTTAGCAACATTTGTTAGGAGGCATATCATATCTGGGTTTTTATTGCTAAACGGTCATTCTTTAGGTTTTTAAAAGGCCAGGGTAACTAAACAGGAGTGTTTTTTCTTTCGTAAAAAATGCCTTGTCCTTTTGGCCTGTATTATCTAAGGAAATAGTACCGCCTAGCAGGACATCCTAAACTATGTCAGCAGTTGCTTGCATGTATTACTACATGACATGCAGCTTGTTATTGTTACATTGTAATACATACCTTGCCCTCTGAAGGCTTTTTCCTACCAGCTGGGGATAGATGAACAAAGATAGTTTAATTCATTCCTTGTTGTTGTAATCAGATGGGGAAGTGCAAAACCCTTTTTCTGGTTTAACATTTGAAATCCAAGGATAACCAAACAGGAGTGGTTTTTTATTTTTGAAAATTGTCTAGCGTCTGAACTTTTAACAGGGGCACCCAACGCGAATATAGTTCAAAACCACTTAAACATAGCATTGTTGAACGTATTTTAATATTTAAAAGGTAGATGTAGGCATATTTTTATCCCCCCCAAATTTTTTCATCTGTTCGGATTTCCTAGCTGAAAGTCTAGTGATCTGAAAATTATAGGGATCAAAACTTACATTTTCGAAAATTTCAGCCATGAAAAAGGCTCCCGAAAATTCTAGGTGACCTTTTTAGAGTGAAAATCCGTTAAAAATGGGCAATTATTCCATTTTTTAGATGTTCGAAAATCCTAGGAGAGGCAGGCAAGCAAGAAATTTTACAACAAAAGTTCCGAAAATTCTAGATCTCAAATCGTCTTCCGAACAGATATTTTCCGAAAATTGACGTTGGGTGCCCCTGTTTTAATACCTGCGTATAGTTGGGAATTATCCGGCTGCTTAGGTACTCTGCAGACTAATCAGTAACAGTAGTGATGTATGAAATTTGTTTTGATGGATAATACTTAAAAGTTCATATTTATTTTGATGGAATTGCATAATGAATGACTTTCCATTAAATAATGTTTATTGCAAAGGTGATGAAATAGCAAAACCTACCATACAGACAAAGACACCACAATCAGTTGAGTTTAATTGCTGTGGTACAACTGTAATGTAGAAATTGAACAGAACTTGTAACTGATGGGTTTCTGTAATTTCGTCCATGAACGAAGAACAAAGCATACCGTAAAATTCCGAAAATAAGTCCTGGGCTTATATTTTTCAAAGGCCCTTTTTGAGGGGCTTATTTTTGGAGGGGCTTATCTACGGAGGGAAATTTGCGTTTGAAAATCGATTGGGCTAGCCTTATAGCAGGGAATAAATGTACCATTTTTGGTTTGTTTTACTATATATTTGAGGAAATTTTCCAAGTACAAGTCCCCAGGGGGCTTATATTTGGAGAGGCGATTTAACGGAGGTTTTTTTGCGTTACCGGTTTGAGGGGCTTATATTTGAAGGGGCTTATACACGGAGGAACTCATTTTCGGAATTTTACGGTTTCTTGTTATGAAATTGGTAGACAGTTACAATGCACTGTCTATTTAGCCTAGCTTCCTCTTCAAAGTTTTTAATATATTTTTTTTCAATTCTTTTTTCAATATTTTTTTAATGAGCACTAGTGAGCAGCACAAAGCAACGCGAGGATCTTGTTTACTTGATTTATTTATCCGACCGGTAGTGGGGTTACTGGGGCTGTTGACAGTTGGGGAGAGGGGCCCGCGGGAAGTTAAAAATAGAGAGTCTCCCGAATCAACAACCAAGGTTGATTGCTGCCAAGGTAGGTAGGTTTTTGGGTATGGTAATGTATGATAAGGAGTTTGAAACAAAAGAAAATCAAATTTAGACCAAAGATAAAATTGAACCACAATTTCAGTATGGAGAGGTGGGGGGAGGGGGTGGAGGTGGGGTGAGAATAATGTTGTTGTCACAAAAAAAAAAGAATTTTGATTTGTTTTGATAGTGCCAGCCATAGAGTACAGCCAACTGTACCAACCTTTTTTTTGCTGAGTGATACTGACCAGTCAAACAACACACAAATAATGAGGTCAGGAAATAACAATTATTCTATAACAACAATAAATAATAGTAACAACAATAATAACAATAATATTTATGATAATAATAGATCTAACTGTATAACATGAATGAAAGGATATCATTTACAAAATCGACTGCTGATATGATCAATCAGGAATTTTTCAAAGAACATGAGAATCTCAAACATCGCAAAGTATACCGTAAAATCACGCTTCCCTGGCGGCACCTCTAGCTGTCAGTTTTGAGTACTCCCTATAGATTGTCCCCCTGGGTGGACATTCTTAGGTGATTACAACAACAAGGAATGAATAAAACTATCTTTGTTCAGCTGACCCCAGCTGGTAGGAAAAAGCCTTCAGAGAGCAAGGTATATACTTCAATGTAACAATAACAAGCTGCATGTCATGTAGTAATACATGCAAGCAACTGCTGACATAGTTTAGGATGTCCTGCTAGGCGGCACTATTTCCTTAGATAATACAGGCCAAAAGGACAAGACATTTTTTACTAAAAAATAAAACACTTCTATTTAGTTACCCTGACCTTTTGGGAACCTAAAGAATCACCGTTTAACAATAAAAAAACCCAGATATGATATACCTCCTAACAAATGTTGCTAAAACTCAGGATGTCCGTTGGACGGTACTATTTTCTTCGGTAATACCGGCCAAAAGGACAAGGCCACGTTTATGAATAAAAATGTTCCCATAGAGTTATCCTAAGCTTGTAGCAACCTGCAGAAATCCAGTCCTACAACACAGTTTAACAATGAAAGCTAGAGGAGATGTACATGCCAACAAATGTTGCTATAATTTAGGATGTCCCTTTAGACGGTACTATTTTCTTCGGTAATGCCGGCCAGCGGGACAAGACAAATTGATAAGACATTTATGAAAGGATTGCTTACCATACAGGACCAAGAACACTTCAAAACTCACAATAAACGCAAACTTCGTCAGTAATACCGTAAATCACGCTTCTCTGGCGATAAAACGGCTCCTTTGGCTGTCAGTTTTCACCACGCTTGAGCCGCCATATTGGATGTTTTCGAGAATTTCCGAAGTCGGCCCGAATCAGAAACTCGTTCCTAGTACTCCTCGGCTGTCCTTTTGAACGGTATGATTTAGGCACAACCCACAGATAGCGGGTAGAGGTGAGGAATATTATTGAAGTTGTTTTTATTTTGCTCAAGCTTATCTGATCTTGTTTCCTTTCAGAAATTCCTCTGATTATACTTTTAATGTCACAAGCGTACACGTAGTGAGCAGGGGCACCCAACGACAATTTTCGGAAAATATCTGTTCGGAAGACGATTTGAGATCTAGAGTTTTCGGAACATTTGTTGTAAAATTTCTTGCTTGCCTGCCTCTCCTAGGATTTTCGAACATCTAAAAAATGGTATAATTTCCCATTTTTGACGGATTTTTTGCTCTTAAAAGGTCACCTAGAATTTTCGGGAGCCTTTTTTCTGGCTGAAATTTTCGAAAAGGTAACTTTTGATCCCTATAATTTTCGGATCACTAGACTTTCAGCGAGGAAATCCGAACAGAGGAAACATTTTTAAAGGCTAAAAATATGCCTATATCTACGTTTAAATACTAAAATACATTTAACAATGCTATGTTTAAGTGGTTTTGAATTATATTCTCGTTGGGTGCCCCTGAGTGAGGCGACGAATGCTTGTTAAAAAAGGTTAAGCTTAACTGATATTAAGTTCTTAAATGCAAACTACAGGAATCATACACGATTCACTTGAAAATTTCGAAACGTGTGCTCATCAAAATACGAAGAAATTTTAATTCAAATCTGGAGGCTCAAGTTGAGCGCAAAGTCCACTCTAATAATTATTATTGGGCTATTGCAATAAATATCCGTACCCTTCCCCCCCACCCACCAATTGAGGTCTTGCCTTTTCTTCTAGCCCCTAAAGATTTTAAAAAAATTCATTCACTTCTGAACACGTCCATCAAATATGGGTTTACCCCTCAATAATATGGGTCTGGTCTACCCAGGGCTGTCATTAAGAGGCAGGGAACCAGGGATTTCCTCCTGCGAGGCCCTCGCCTACTTTCAAAGGACAACTTGTTGTATTTAACCCGCAATTATTCCTCTCGCCCTCATGGGCTATTGACTTAAAGGCCATGATAGGCTTTGGTAGATTGTGCTCGAAAAAAAAGCATATTATGCTTTTAGCAGTGCTCAAATTTTTAAGAAATTATGTCAAAATTATGCTACTTTCTGAAAATTATACTCTTTGTCACCGAAATTATGCTACTTAACTTTTACATTGGTTTTAAGGAAAATAAAGATCATCAGTAGCTTAACTCTATCAATTTTGACTTTAATGAACATTCACATAGTCCACCTTCCAGTCTTACAGTCTTTAGCATCGCAAATACGCATGTGCACACCTCGAAAAGCCAAATGATTAACAAATGATACCAAAATCAACCGTTTCTGGGTTCTGAATCTGGGTCGGAAAGTTAAAGCCCACATGTTTGTTTTAGACGCCATCCAGGCAAAGCCTTCAGTTCAGTATAAAGACAGCTATGCATGTTGTTAATCTCTGTGTTATCGGTTCTTGTACTGAAGCATTACACAAGCCTGTAAGTAGTCCACAAGAGCATGCTCTTGTGAATCGTTGAACGATGAGTTAAGAATAGAGAATACTCGTTCAGCTGCTGCAGACGAGCGCTGCACCAGCAGAACCTTCATAACTGCAGAAGACCAATGGGGTAGGTTGTCAGATTGTTGCCACCACCACTTCACTTTATCTTCTTCGCAGGGCATGATGACGTCCTGGGAGGCGGCAGGATAGTTAGGCAGTCTCTCAGATATGCACAGGGTGACCTCCGCCGCCTACCGGACCATATTTGACCATGGGCCTTAGCACAGACCTCAATATTTTCCAAAAACAATACAGAAATAAAATACAAACTGAATTTTTCTAGAGCTATGATGCTTTTTTTGTTTTCAATGCATAAAAGCTCGGATTATGCTAGCAGTGCTAAACTGAAATAAAAGCTTAAAATAATGCTTGTTTTGCTGAATTATGCTTAAAATTATGCTAGCACAATCTACCAAAACCTAGGCCATTAGGGTGAGAGGAATAAGTACTGTTTTAGTAAAATCCAACTCGTTGGTCAAAAATGTCGAGACAAAACAACTTAAAGCAAGACTTAAATACTTTTTTGCTGCCAAAAATCCGGCGCTTTTCGCTACTAGTGGGCTATAACATATAGCCTAGTAGTAGGTCAACCAATCAGAATGCAGTATTTTTTTTTTCATTTTATTTTTTCTTATTATTATTACTTTTTAATATTTATTAATTAACAAAAAAAAATAATTACAAATACGTGTTCTTTTAACTATTCAAAACAATAAATTATTTCCTACTTTCGCAGCGGGCTGAAAATAATATATATAGAGAGAGAAAAAAAAAACTAAATTCGTAAAGGAAAGAAACTAAATTAAAAGGAAAAAGACGCAAACCTAATAAGTGAAACAGTACAGCAGTAAAGTGTAGCTTAAAGGAATAAGTATTATGGAAATTATGGAAATGACACTAGCATTCACATGTCTAAAGAAGTCTGGCCCATGTTTTTTTAAATTGCGATAAGCAGTTAGATCTAAAAGCTATGGTACAAAGAATATCAATTTTGTTATTGAGACGCAGTAGAAAACTGTCAAAGTCCAGGACGCTGTTGTGTACGCTTGTAGCAAAAACATTACATTTGGCCACAATCGAACAGTAATTAAGCACTTCCCAGTTACTTGACTCTTTGTGCCAACCATATAAAATAGTGCTTTCAGTGTTTTATAGATTGACTTTCAAGGTTGCATAAAGGACAAACATCAGTATCTGTTATGCACTTGTGGAAGAGGCTAGATTGGGTAGGTAAAATATTGTGAATAATTTTGACTTGGAACATGATCAGTTTTGGTTCTTTCAAGATTTTGAACTGGAGCATATAGATGTAAGGAATTTCCTCTTTGGTGAAACCATGATCTAAAATTCTGCCTTCAGCAGTGGGTGCTGAGAAGCTTTTGTCAAGTATGGAAGAATAGGCTTCTTTTGTGGAACGCAGTATTGATAATAGACCATTAGTTGGATTTTACTAATAACAATTATTCCTCGAGCCCGAATGGGCTATTAACTCAGAGGCCATGAGGGCAAGAGGGATAATAATTACAGGGCTCGAAATTAACGCTCGCAAACTCGCAAAATGCGAGTGATTTTGATAATCTGCGAGTAAGAAAAATATCCACCAGCAAACGATTGCGAGTTAGAATTATCCATGTCTCCCAAACAAAGGGAAATAATTTGCTTGTGGTCTCACCAGTTTGCTAGTGGAAAAAAATCTTACTAGCAAAACTTTGCAAGTGCACTAAAAAGATAACTTCGAGCCCTGAATTATTGTTTTAGTAAAATCCAACCAGTTGGTCAAAAAAATTGAGACAAAACAACTTTAGCTAGCAAAAACACATTTCAGCCGTGATTGTTTTGGTTGGGCTATAACATATAGCCTAGTAGTAGCTCAACCAATCAGAACAGAGCATTGACAATAGCCATTAGTTGCACTTTACTAAAATGCAATAGTCCATGTGCAGCTAGGTGAATATAAACTGCATGAGCTTAGTCTTGAACTGTATAGAAAAGTTCAAATGAGAAAACTTCACCTAAAAACCCACAGTCATCAAAGTTGACCTCAGCCAAAATAACCAATGATGCTTGTGTGACTATTAAGCAATAGACCACACTTTCTATGGGTTTACCGGCGTGATAACCCACGCGGGATGTTGGGAGAACACGAGAAAAGCTTGTAAATCACGAGCCGAAGGCGAGTGATTTACAAGCTTTCTAAAGTCATCATAAGTCAATCATGACTCACGATTTAATAGCGCTGAACTTTCTCAAAACTCAGTTCAGTCAAACAACAAACAGCAGCACTTCAAAATACGAGTTTTTGCACTCATTGCATGATAACTTATGAAAGCTGTTTTACAGGAAAAGTCAACATTTATTCATGGGAACGTACAATGAAAGAATACGTTCATGGTTTGTTTACTACAGAAGTAGAAATTAATTGAACATCAGACTGTACGCAGCTGTATTCTTTTGAGTCGATCCGCAAGAATTTCGTGCTTACAGACGGAACTGGCAGCTATTTTAATGGAGGACTTCATTCACATTTTACAAGCCGCAGTGGTTTAAGATCTGTTTTCTGGACTTTATTATGATTAACAAATGCTGCGGTAACGACGTGGCTGCTTTTGCGAAGTTGTTGCATGTATCTTAAAATGCACGTACAGCGACCGATGGAAATATGTCAGTGGTGGAGAAAGGTTTCTTTGCCGTAGCCACATATTGGCGTTCATATTTGTCGATTTGTAAAGTCAGGTGGTTTGAGGTAGGTTATGGCATCGATATCACCGAATAATTTGTGCAAATGTTGGAAAAAACTAGCCCGAAACTCTAACATCTTTCATCATTGTTGGCAGCTTGTTTACAACCAACAGCGGCCAATTTTATACCATATCTTGATAAGAGATCTCTTTTTGGAACAATTTCTTTCATTAAGGAATTTAATTTTGACATTAAATAAATCAAGAATGCTAAAACTATCCGTTTGTTGCTGGTTGGCACATGGTTAAGTTTTTCTGGAGACTTTTTACACCAGAAATTCACACAGTTGTTGCCTTTCTCCTTTGGCATCGTCGTGAAATGTAAACTGCTTTCCAGCTTTGTACTTTATTACTTCTAAGGCTATGGCAGTAATAAAATGTGGAAACCAACGCTTTTGATATTAAAAAGGGCTGGGTAAGTAACTTGTTCTGTTTTTTAGCCTTTCTAAAATCATTGTTTGCAGATCAATAGCCGGTTTTGGCTCGTGGTCCGGATGCCTTTTTCTATGGGTTTACCGGTATAATAAACCATAGGTTTTTGACCAATCAGATCACGCGTACTATCTCAGTTATTTTATAATAAGTAATAACATATTAGAATTAGATTATCAGTTAGATTGCAGTAAGTATAGTAGAGGTCATGAGAACAAAGAAAGATAAAATTAATGACATCAAATTAAAGAGAGAGAATAAATTATAGTTACATAAAAGCTAATTGAATTAATTAAAAAACTGCATGATTTTCTGTTTCTTCTTCTGCAAAGCAACTAAGCTTGAATATGGAGGCATTCCTAACACCTTCAACAAGACCCTTTAGCTGATCAAAAGCAGTCTCTTCAAATTCTGTTGGTAGCTAGCTTACTACTTCAAGAAGGCTTCTTGAAAATGTTCGTATGGAAGAGATTGTTAGTAAACTGGTCTCATAAAGTCAGTCAAAGATTGAACTGAACTGTTCACTTGCAATCTTTTATTGTAGGTCTAGAACAGCATGTGCGTTTGGTATAAAGATTTCAAATTAGAAAATGACAGAATTCATTCTTATGATCACTGAGTTTTTTTACCGAATACAGATGGCTTTGCTCACCCCAGCAGGCAAGTGGCTGGTTTAGTCCACTGGCCTGTTTGAGGCATATATATACTCTTATATCTTGTGCATTCGCAGAATTTGCAAAACAAAGCCCATTTTTAAGCTTGGCCATTCCTATGGAAATGCCTGAGCAATAAATACAGCAACCTAGTGTAAATAAGTCAGTAAGTGATCATGAGTCATAAATATCGGATGACAGCTCTAACCCTTTCAAATCATTGAACTGCCCATGTGTGAGCCAAGGCTCACAAATGTATTTTTTAGAAGATAAAATATTCCAGTCTTAGCTTGCTGTGAAATTGGAGGCAGGATATGAATATTAAGGATCCAGTGACAGAGATTATGCAGCACATTTGAATATTTTCAGCCTATTATCAGCAGAAAAATAAGGATATTTAGCCTGGGGCAAAAAAACATTCTTATAAAAAAGGACGGTACCACTCAAATTTTACATTTCATATATAGAACACTATTGAGTTGGGTTACTGTTAGTGTGACAAAACATTGCAGAAAACCATCACATTGACCGACAAAGGAAAATTGATTAGTTATTCAGATCTAGAAGGCACTGGGAAAATTAAAGAACAATAAATCCTCATTTAGCCTGAATAAAAAGCTTTACATTTCAAAAGAGGTTAAAGGAAATGCTCTTGCACTAGAGGGCAAATCCTGTTGACTATAAACAAAAAAGATAAGAGAAAATCAATATGTGTGTCATGACCTCTCAGCAGTGTGAAACAACAAAACAAAATAAGCAGCAGAGATCGCATATTTAATTTGGCCGCAGTCTAAATTTAGAACCCTCCGGAGTATAATCTACCCTTTAGAGAATTAAAGAGTACTAATTACAGGAACAAGCAGCATTTTGGCAGAAGCAAAAGTACATCTAATGCCTGTCAACCCCTTTTCACTAAAAGCAATTTGCTAGAGGAGGGAAAGACAGCAATTTCCTGAGCATGCCTTCAGCTCATGAGACTTAAACCCCTTTAACCCTAATCACCATAGTCAGGGCTTAACTCTGGAATCCCTATTAGTCACTTTATGGCTAATCAATACTGATGACATTGTTTAAGCTTAATCCCCTGACCTGCCCATCTTGACTCATGACTCACTGACTCTTTCACATCATAAAACAAGCAGAATGGAATTTACTCCACCGAAAGATATGAGTACAAGTTTAGTACTATCTATAAGAGAATCACCTGTGACTAATCTTCTCTATATTTTCTTGTTATGTATTGGACAGGAACATGAAAGAGTGACAATATTCCTGGACATAATTCCCTTGTCAATGTCATACTTGTACCTGCCATCTCAAATTCAAAGTGACATCTGTAATGAGATTGTTGACATTCTGAACAAATTGCAATTGACCACAATCCAGGATTTATGTTGGGAGGATCACTGTGAAACGTGTTTTTCACCATCACATGGGTGAGGAGGTACACTGTAATGTTACACTTTGTCTGACCTCTCAGAAGAAGAAATAAAGACAGCTGGGTATACTGACAAGTTAAAAATTTGGCTACAATTGTTATCTGACCATGGATCCTATTCACAAAAAGGTCCTTGCAAGCAAGACTTCTGAAATAATGAAGAGGATTTCAAATCCAGTGATTTTATCTGTACATCTTAAAACAATATTTAGTACTGGAGACTTGGAGGAAATCGAGGCGAAAACTTTGCAACGTGGGGCTACCACTGGAACACAAACCATGCTCACTTTACTGGAAAAGAGAGGACCTAAGGCTTTTACCCTGTTTATACATGCCTTACTAGATCCTGCCATTAGCTGTGCTGATCTGGCAGATGATTTGGAGCAAGAAGAAAGAAAACTACGAGGGGAAGCAGGTGAGTTCTTCATCCTTTGGGAAATTACTACAGTATTATTGCCAATGAGCAGCCTCACAAAGATGCAAGGCTGGGAGGCGGCAGCCTAAGAGATCCGTGCGTGATTGTTCCAGGGGCAGAAAAAATCTTGAATCGATGTAACATAGAGTAATGTAAGGCAACCATGACATAATGCACAACAGAGAATGCATTGTTTTCGAGAGAGCACCTGATACAGATCAGAGAATCAGCGAGCTATGTGTGTGTTTGTGAGTCCCGTGTTCATCCCGTCTTCAACCAATCCTTGGGTGGATCATTTCCATTCTACGCTATATCTGTTGCATTTGCCCCCTGGAATTTTTTATTGCATGCTGCTAAGAAAAATAACAGTGTCGCGAAATTTATTGTCTTTGAAGCAAAATAATTCGTAAGGCTTCATTGGTGCACCATAATTTTTTTTGCCTTAAAAAGAGACCAAATATAAGTCTGTGCGTTGAGAATACTTGCTGACATTAATATGATTTTTTGAGGATTTTAAGTTTGCTTATAAGTTCACTAAATTTTTCGCAAAATGACTTGGTTGTGCAACTTCGGACAAAAATACAAACTTCAAAATCTCGGAAAATTTGCTATGTTAAGTAGGGATTTCAAATCCTTTATGCAGGAGAACAGTTTGGTTCACTATTTTCAAGAGACAACTTAAAGTAAAGGGCATACAAACACCAAACCCATGATCCGCCTTCCCCGTGCATGTCGTGGGAGAACTGCTGTGTGGTTCCCAGCCAACAGCTCCCCCATGTGTTGGCACTTGAAGGACTCCCCTCGGCAGGAAAGGGTCTTTTATACATGGGTTTGCCCCGTTCTCTGACCGGCGGCTGTGCCATGCTGATGACCCCCAGTAAGGGGAAAACAGCTGTCCATGCAGGCTCCCACTGCCCGCGTGATATGGCTGTGGACATGCATGAGGTAATGGCCAGGCCGTGGGTTGGTGTATGTTTGCCCCTTGCTTTAATTTACTGGTAACTCGTTATCCACCTTCCCTGCGCATGTCGTGGTAGAACTGCTTTGCAGTTCCCATATGTGTTGTGTGGAGCTGGCGCTTGATAGACTGCTTTGCACTCACCTCGGCAGTAAGGGGTTTTTGAGACGCGGGTTTTCCCCGTTCATTAACCCAATGCCTTTGCAACGCTGCTGAGCCCCAATATGGGCGAAACAGCTGTCTGTGGCTGCCACTGCCCGCATGATATGGCTGTGCCCATGCGTGAGGTACTGGCTCGGCTGTGGGCTGGTGTGTGTGTGCCCCTTAATGCTTTAAGTTTGCATTATTTTCAAGGTAATTTTCGCTAATGCAATCGAATTAAGTTCAAGCTATTTTTCATCAATTACTGTATGTTAAGGCATTTCTATACAAATTCAACAGCGCGCGTATAGGTAGAATCTTTTCTCATCGGCACTTAGCGATAGCTATAACTAGTTAAAATAAGATTATAAGCCACTGCATTGTAGTGCTGCTAAATGCTCTTCTTGAGGCTTATAGATTGAATAGGCCGGTACGTCAGCTTGTATCTTCAATCAGTTGTTTTTACTATAAAAAATGTAGCACAAAAGTGGGTTGCTTCTTGAGCTATTTTTTGGGTGTTTTTAGTTTGTGCTTCGTGAAGTTGATACAGCCATGTAAAAGTAATCTGAGATCAGGCCCCATTATAGCAAGTTTCATTCTATTTTTTTACGTGCTGCACGTCAGAACATTTACTTACCAAGCAAAATGAAAATAGAGCCTGATCTCAGGTTACGCAAAAACTTAGGTGAGGTCAACGATAAGGAAGGTTGCGAGGAGAAGAAGGCAGAAAACCTTGGTTTGCCCAGCTGTATATCTTACTTAACGAACTACAAACAAAAAACACACCGAAAAACAACCTGCACTTTTAGTATGATAATGAAAATGAGTAACAAAAAATATCATCTAGCTACAATATCCTGGACAAAAGTCCTTGGGACAGTACTGCAATATTCATATTTTTCTGTCATTTCTCTGATCGGTTCCCTCTTAAAACAGTGCATCCTTTTCGAAATTTTCTTGCAGTTCTCCCTCCCCCCAGCATGTCATTTGCATGCCCTCATTCATTTTTCGGTTATTGATTTCATTACATGTGTATTAATTTTTTTTGAAAGGTTTTAAGTCCCACGATGGGACCACCAAGTTCATGCAAAAACCCCCAAGATTCATCCTTGTTCTCAAGGTTCTCGTCCTCTCTTTCTTCCCTCCTTCCTTGGTGTGTTGTATTTATTAAAACATCTATTTGGTCTAATAAGAGCTGCATGAGTATACCATATTATGCATTTACGCAGAGTTTTATAACAACATATTAAATGAAAGAAGAAATTGTGAGGCATTTAATATGTTGAGACAAGCAACTTAAATTTGTTATAAGTATTGCTAAAGTTGCATGTATATGTTGTGGTTCAATTTTATCCCTTTTTAAAATTTTATTCCCCATTGTTTTAAGCTCATTATCATACAATACCATACCCCAAAACAAAGGGAAATAAAATTTAAACCAGGGATAAAATTGAACCACAACATATATACATGTAAGTATTATAATTATTAGATGATTGTTCTACAAATGATGACTTTCTTGAAAATATTTTATTCTTTGAGGTCAAAATTTGTTGACAACAACAGCTCTGTTCAGTTTAGTACATTTCACCATTGGTTGTGCTTTGCAAACTATTAATACATCATAATTATGTCGCACATGTACACTGTTACATACCTCTCTAGGGCTCCTCTGTTAACTACCGTTGTCAAATTTTAATACAAGTTTGATTTAAATGGATTAAACAGGGGCTTTAATAAGAGAAGCGACCAGTGCTCCAGCATCACCTAACCAATGGGATATTAATGATTCTGCAGGAACTTTTAACTTTGAACAAGAGAAAGTCACCCTAGGTAAGCCTATTGATTATATTAAGAAATCTATGGTCTTTCTTTGCCCTGAATGCACTACAAATTAATGTTACTGGGAAATAAAAATTTTGTCTTCTGATCAGATGCTTTAGGTCAGGTCCAAAACCCTTGACCAAAATGCATGTCTAGTCCAGGTGCCTTATCCAACCTGGGACTTTTTCCATCATGATGTCACTTATATATTCTACTAGGTTATGGGCATAACAGATTGTACTGCAATGTTGATTTCCTCTTTTTGTCAACTTATTTAGGACCAATCTGCTTGTGACTCTTCATGTCAAACATTCTTCCAAATTACTTCTGTTTAAGGGAGCTTCCTAGGTTCAAGTTTGGTCAGTCACTCAGCATACATGTAAGGTGTCATCCTTAATTGGTGTACTGCCTCTTGTTGGTAATGGTTGAACTAGCCAGAGCGATAGCAGCATCTCCTGGCTTCTACATGAAGCCCAGTTTGCATTTATAATGCCACTTTGACACAGCACCAAGCTTGTGTGCTGCGCTTGTTGTGGTCAGTGTTTCTAGCCATTTTTGGCCATGGGTGGGGTTGTCAGACTCCATGGTATTGGTATTATCATGCCTCTCCCTTTGGGCCTTTTCCCAGTGTTTACTTGTTTATCTCTTAGCGTGTCTAAATGGAGTGTCAAAGTGCCTCTTTGTCATCTGGGCTGGGCAGCCTTATGCGATAATTTAAGTATGGAACACAAGTCTGAAGAGCCTCTAGTTTAGTGTGTGAACCATACAGATTGAGCTTTATCATATTTCTTCTTTTACATTGTACTTGTTGTTGTTGTTGTTGTTGCAGGGTTTATGGTGTAAAAACCACTATTTTTATAACAACTATTGTATCACTGATTGAAGAAAAGAAACAGTTGCACATTAAAGTGGAACCTTGATATAACAAACCTCTATATAATAAGTCCTCAGAACAATATTCTTCATCTCAGCAATAGTACAATGGAAAAGAACCTCAATAACCTTGTTATAGTGAATATATTCTTTTACCAGCCCGCTGGTGCTCCATTATGTCAAGGTTCCACTGTTATGTTTTTGTCAAGTTGAGAACACTACTCGTTGTTTTTATTTTTTATGTATTTTCTTGGATATTAAAACTGAAAAAGCACCTTACCAGGCTAGTTATAGTAATTGGTTTTGTTTGATTAAATTTAGGTTCTCTTGTGAAGGACATTCCTTTTGCAGTACGCACAAAGATTGAACGGATGATGAACGTCAATGACCATAATGACCATAACTGGAGGGGTCTGGCTGCAGCCATGATGTTGTCAGTTGATGAGGTTCGACAAATGGAGGAAGGAGAAAATGGGAAAATGACAGGACTCTTTGATAACATGATAGACACCAAAAAAACCATTAAAGATTTTTTTGACTTTCTGAAACATCCTGCTGTTCAGAGACTGGATGTCATAGATGAAATTGTAGAAGATTGTGGTCTTCCAACAGAATTGTCAGAAAGTGTAAGCTCTGAAGTAACCTTAGGTAAGCCCATTAATTATATTTAGAAATCATTCTTTGCTCAAGTTCTATGCCCTGAAGTGCACTATAAATTAAAGTTACTGGGAAATGGAAGTTTTGTCTTCCAATCAGATGTCTTAGGTGTGACTGTAGCTGGTTTGCAATGCAGAGGTCAGGTCCCAACCTCTTTTACAAAATCGAGTCTAGTCTAGGTGCCTTCCAATTTGGGACTTTCATCTTCCAATCAGATGTCTAGGTGTGAATGGAGCTAGTTTGCAATGCTGAGATCAGGTCCAAAACCTTGATCAAAATGCATGTCTAGTCCAGGTGCCTTCCAATTTGGGACTTGTTTTATGATGATGTCACTGATTCTATAAGGTTATGGCCTTCATAACAGATTGTACTGCAACGTTGATTTCCTCTTTTTGTCAACTTATTTAGGACCAATCTGCTTACGACTCTTCATGTCAAATATTCTTCCAAATTTCTTCTGTTTAAGGGAGCCTCCTAGGTTCAAGTTTGGTCAGTCAGCTCAGCATACATGTAAGGTGTCATCCTTAATTGGTGTACTGCCTCTTGTTGGTAATGGTTGAACTAGCCAGAGCGATAGCACCATCTCCTGGCTTCTACATAAAACCAAGTTTGCATCCATAATGCCACTTTGACACAGCACCAAGCTTGTGTGCTGCGCTTGTTGTGGTCAGTGTTTCTAGCCATTATTGGCCATGGGTGGGGCTGCCAGACTCCATGGTATCAGTATTATCTTACCATTCCCTTGGGCCTTTTGCCAGTGTTTTCTTGTTTATCTCTCACAGTAGCATGTGTAATTGAGATACCGAAGTGCCTTTTTGTCATCTGGGCTGAGCAGCCTTATGTGATAATTTAAGTATGGAACACAAGGCTGAAGAGCCTCTAGTTTAGTGTATGAACCATACAGATTAAGCTTTATCATACTTCTTCTTCCACATTGTACTTGTTGTTGTTGTTGTTGCAGGGTTTATGGTGTAAGAACTACTATTTTTATAAAAGCTATTGTATCATTAACCAACCATCATCTTTAATAACAAATCATTGCTCTGTCATTCTTAATCTCATCGCAAGAAATTTGTAATCAAGTGACCACGGCATTACTGTTTTTGCATAAATAATTGCATACCCATGTTCTTTGATTAGTAAAGCTTTGCCCAGATTGAAGCCTATGGGGTAAATCACTGATTGAAGAAAGAACTGATGTTTCCCTTGACTTCGTCTCAGGAAACATCAGGACTCTCGGGAAAACAAAACTAACTGGTTCCCTTCGGGATGTGACATTAAGGGTGTAATATTCTTCGTCTCAGCAATAGTACAGTGGAAAAAATCTCGTTATAGCGAACGTATTTTTTACAAGCCCGCCGGCACTTCATTATATCAAGGTTCCACTGTACTGATATATTTTTGTCAAATATGTATTTTTTTTGGATATTAAAACTGAAAAAGCACCTTACCAGGCTAGTTATATAGTAATTGGTTTTGTTTGATTAAATTTAGGTTCTCTTGTGAAGGACATTCCTTTTGCAGTACGCACAAAGATTGAACGGATGATGAACGTCAATGACCATAATGACCATAACTGGAGGGGTCTGGCTGCAGCTATGATGTTGTCAGTTGATGAGGTTCGACAAATGGAGGAAGGAGAAAATGGGAAAATGACAGGACTCTTTGATAACATGATAGACACCAAAAAAACCATTAAAGATTTTTTTGACTTTCTGAAACATCCTGCTGTTCAGAGACTGGATGTCATAGATGAAATTATAGAAGGCTGTGGTCTTCCAAAAGAAGTGTTAGAAAATGAAAGCTCTGAACTCGATGAAACAGGTTTGTTTGTTTGTTTGTTTTACGTACTAAAGCTGTTTATGAGCTACTTTTTATCTCATGAATGCCCGAATTATCGCTGTGGTTGGTATATGCAAATGAGTCACTCACATAGGGCTCGCTCTGAAGTTGACCGATATGAAACGACATTTTGTCGTTGTTGCCGAAGTGTACTTTGGGCAACTTCGGGGCGTTTCGTGCATGCATTCACCCGGTTACTTAGCATTAGATAACACCGGGTGAAGCGTGATTGGACGCCTTATAAAGTTTACACAACGCATAATTCTCTTAACATAACGATAAAGGAACAGAAATCCTCTAACCTTGTAGAATTACTGATAAAAAAACAAAACAGAACTACAGAGCGCCAGTTATTCACCTTTGTCACGTGGCGGCCGTTAATTTGTCTCAGGAGATTGTTTATACACCCCTAGCCTCGTAGATAGAACGAGGCTAGGGGTGCATAAAGAAAGCTTTTTAAATCTCCTGAGACAAAATGGGCCCCGCGAATGGAGAGAACATACTAGAGAGTTTTAAAACACTGATCTGCACGGTTATGAGGGTTAAGCACTGAACTGAAAACGGTAGTGTGAAATGTCATACGTCTCCACCCACTAACGCGTGGGGGCACAGGGGAGAGAGACAGCGCCCTCCACGGGCTAGGCATATGACATTTCAGACAATGAAAACGGTCAGCTTTCAAATAATTTATTGTAATGGGATACGGCCTAAAAATTATTGGATTTGGTCCTCGATGGTGTGGTAGATATGAATGTAGGTTATGAAGCAAATGACTCGGGTTCAAAGCTTCCCAGTTCTGTAAGCTTCCCAGTTCTGTTTATCGATCTTATTTTATATCACATGGTAAAGTTAGACTTAAGTTGTTCTTCGTGTAATTTTACTGAAGGAAACAATCAGACTTCAGCCGATGTTACCAAATGCTCTTACAGCAATAAAAGGGGGTGGTAGGCCTACACGACTTAAAACTCATGCCAAAATGCTGCTTATTCCAATATAGCCTGCGAAAACATCCGTTTCTCCACGCTCTTCGCCGCTGGGGTCCCCAGCGGCGAACAGCGAGGAGAAACGGATGTTTTCGCAGGCTAATTCCAATAAAGTTTTTTTCTCTCTCTGCTGGATAGATTATGCTCTGGAAGGTTCAGCAAATGTGATTTTAGCCGCATGTTTCACACTGAGAGGTCATGGCACACATATCGATTTACTGTAGTTATTGTTTCTGGTCGGCAGGATTTACCCTCTGATGAAAGCGCATTTTCTTTGACCTCTTTTGAAGCGTAAAGCTTTTTTTATTACGGCTGAATAAGAGTTCCAATTTTCTCCAAAGTGCCTTCTGGATCTGAATAACTAAGCGATTTTCTTTAGTCCGTTGGTGTAATGTTTTTCTGCAATGCTGTATCACGCTGGGCCCAGCTCGTTAGTTTTCTTTCCAGAACGTTAAATTATCACGGATAGTGATTTACAGATCCAAAATTATAAGAATGAAGTGCAGCTTAAACTGAAGCTACATAAAATTATTATGGAGAATTGAATTGTGACTCAGCAAACTCCAGCTTAGTGTTTTTCTAAAGTTAGTGTGAGTCTTTTGACTGGAGTGCGTAGTTCCTCCCTTGGTAATAGCTTTAGAATAAGCTTAACAGTCTTTTATAGAATGCTGAGGAGCGAGGGCACTATCCGATTTAATGCACCTCTCCATTGTTTTAGAATTAGCAGGTCATTATTGTGGCCACCGAAGTGGAACAGTAGGTTATTATTCGTAATAATGACTTCCCGTTCCACCTCACTGACCTGCTCTTCCATTTATTGAAAATTATAATCTGTTCAGAAACAATGGAAAGTTGCATTAAATCTATGTATTTAGTATTAAAATAAGTGAGAAGACAAGCAAAATGGAATGGCTAAATAAAAGAGTTTCCACTCTGCTCTTAAAAGTACTATATTAAAACATGCGTACGTTATAATGTGATCATGCAATTACTGAAAAAAGCACGCTTTCCATGGGATTCAAGATTGTACTTCAGGACCACTATCAGTTCTTTATTAGCAGAGAGTAGCTTTCTGTTGGGCCCCTACCCAATTAAAGTGTCCGTAAAATGTTTAGGTTGAAGTTCATACAAAAGCTTTGAATGCCGAAATTAAAATCAAATAGAGAAAACCCGCCAGCAACAAATTAATCCAAATCTTGGTTCGTATGAACAAGAGCTGAGTTACAGTGTACTTGACTTAAATTCAATATGTTGCACACCAAAATGTCTTTCAAATTACCTGAAAATTAGAGGTCATATAAATTACAACATAAACTAAGGTCAGCGGTGTTTCACGGTAATCCATCAGGGGGAATGTGAAAATGGTAATGGTGTCACCGTGTTGCCGTGGATATGCCAATCTCAAAAATACTGACTTTTTTAAAACTCTAATTTATACCGTAAAAGTAGGTACAGTTAGATTCCCCACTTTGTAATCTTATTCCAGAATGCAATCAGTCGAACGCGCTCTTATATCTAAGGGCGTGTTCGATTGACCGCCGCATTCCGGAATACCAATAAGTGGAATAAACTCTCGGCGTTCATTGCATTGCAGTTTCTAGAAATCTGCTTGAAACAAAATATCCCGCTGTATGTAGTGTTTAATTGGCCAAATTAGGGCACAAGAGATTTGCAAAAAAAATTTCTGCATATTCTTATTCTGGAAAACGATCAATCGAACGCACCCTAAATTGATCTGAAGAATCATCCCTATCTTTGTCTCTCTATTTCTCGGGATACGACCAGCTATTCATTCAGCATGGAAAACATTTGACAACTTCATCCCAATACACGTCTATTATAGGCGTCTTGTTGCTTGTACATGTATTCTCAGTTGTCTTATTAATTTGTGCGAAAGTATAGTAATGTCAGTCTCTTATAAATCAACAAAAACGTGAAAACTCCGTAAATAATTTGACACACCAAATTTCATTATAATATAATAACAATTTTCACCAATTTCCAGTATCAATCGATAAAAATCTCTTGATCGATACCCATTTTTATCGATTGATTATGTTGGGGGTTTTGATGCATGCAAAACTGTAACATCATCATGAACAATAGGCTCCCATGGTCTAGGATTGAGACGGATGGTTGATGTCGTTGCCAGGTAGCTGGGTATTATGAAGTTGCTTCTTTTATACAGCCAATCCCACAGTCTAGCCATAAAATGAATTTTTATACCAGACCAGTTTCCTAGCCAAACAAATATCTTGCTGAATTCTTGCTCATGCGTCGTTCAAATTGTCACGCTTGTGCCAGAGTCAGTGATAATTGTTTGGCTCAGTCTCGCTCGTTTGTCAGGCCAGAATCTCGTATTTGTCTTGCCCGGAAGTTTCATACGGAATTAGAAAAGCAAGGAGGAAAGAAAGCAATAGATTAAAGACAAATGGACTGTATCCGCCGGGACTACGGGCTGCCGACTGGGTATAGAATGCCCTGTGTATAAAACACGGACTAGAAGCTGCGGTCTGTTCGACTGTTTTTTGCTGTCCAATTTTATCAATATGTCAAATTGTACTTTCCTTTAGATCCAGAGCTGAAAAGAAAGCTTCAATTTGATGGATGCTTCTTGAATCCTGAGAGGTATGATCCGGTGAAGTTCCTAGGATCTGGAGGATTTGCTAAGGTAAGGTTGTGCCTATTAGTAGTAGCTCATTATCTGACCCATGTGCACCCAAACTAAACTCTACAGAGGTACGTACATGTATAGTAGAGTGAGTGATCTGAGGAGGGGCACAGGACTGTTATAGGAACTTAGTGCTTTAGGAAATTTGCTGGGCGGCCAACAAGCGAAAAAATTATCTTCTCAACTTATCCCAGCTGTGAAATTGACTCACGAGTTTTACGACGTCCATGATTGTTAAGTACTGTTACGAAAACGAGCAGGAGCGTATTATCAGGTCTAAAAACTTGAGGCTAAGCCGAGAGTTTTTAAACCTGATAATACACGAGTGAGTTTTTTGAACGGCTTCAAAATCTCTGATAAAGATCAACTCATTTTCACACTAATATTTAGACTTGGGGTTATTTTGCTTTAAAAAATGGGACGTAAAGTTTAGTGGTGTCTCTATTAGATATAAAGACACTCATTAAACGTTAACTTCTTTTGTTTTTATACGAATTATTAACGAGTTTTGAATGAAGTTTTATCTACAATGAATTTAATTTAAGGTGTTTCGATGCACGATTTTTTTCAATCGCCTTAAGATCGCTATAAATGTTCACCACTAACTGACACTGGATTGAAGTATGTCAAAATGTAGTTTTAAGTAAAATCGATTTCACTATGGCAACAGTAAACAAAAAAATTGAAAGCCGAATTTTGCGCGATCTAGACCTGCAACTGAAAATCCGACAGCAGGAACTTAAAGTGTGGTGTTTAGCAAATAACCCCCGTGAGAGGTAAAAAATTCTGTATGTTTGAATTCAAATAAAACGTAAATATATTTCAAAGCTTATATTTCAATAGTCGTGATAAATTGTTGTAATAAAAAAGTTCTAAATAACTCAAGTTCGTCTTAGTTAACGTTCGAATGCTGCTTAATATGATATTTCGTTGCAAGGAAATTTTGGTGTATTTTCTTTCTTGCGATCCTGAAAACCAAGTATCATTTAGGCAGGTGGTGAGAAAACAGGTTAGTTTTCAGGATCACAAGAAAGAAAAGACACCAAAATTTCAAAACAACGAAATATGATATTAGGCAGCATTCTGACATTACTTAAGACTAGCTTGAGTTATTTAGAACCTTTTTATTAAACAATAGGCGGGTTTCGTATTCCTGGGCGGCCTAGGACGAGTGCTTGTTTTTGCGCGAAAGCGAGGCTAATGCGGGTCACGTCTCACCAAGAAAACAAACACATGAGAAAACTGCTGCTGAGTTGCAGAAAAAAAAGAAAATTTGAAACGATGAAAGGTTTTGGAGGTCTCTAAACTTACTTACGGGCTTGAGAAATCATTTTTTCAAACAGCATTGGAAAATCAGCTCGTCATCACTAAGAAAAACAACGAGCCTAACCAGAAATTGACCGAAATAGTGGTCGGTGCCGAAGTGAGTTTAATAAAAATGCGAAGATGGTTTCAAAATCCTTAAACAAGGTAATACTCTGAAGTCATTTTAATTTTATTTTCATTGATGGTCAAAAGTTCTTTAAGCCATACCTTCCATTGGAGTGTACACACTTGTCGAAAGCCTGCAAGTTAGACTGAAACCTTCGAACTATAGTTGACATGTTTTCTAACGGAGCGAATGCAAAATCTTGTGTATTTGAAAAATAATAAACCGACGGAGCAGACGTTCTGCAAAAATTCCTTGTACTGTCGGGAGGTTAAATCGGTTTAAACGAAGATGACTAAAATAGTGTAAGTTTATTTATACATACCGTATTTATTCGAATAAGCGCCCAACCTCGAATTAGCGCCCACCTCGAATAAGCGCCCATCCTAAAGGCGGAAAAAGTTAATAAGCGCCCAGCCTCGAATAAGCGCCCACCTCGAATTAGCGCCCATCCTCAAGGACCAAAAATTTAATAAGCGCCCAGGGCGGTTAATCGAATAAATACGGTAAACTTACATTTAGCTTACATTATTTATCAAAATATTCAGTCCCATAAAGAAAAACGTATGCACATTTCACTCGACAAGAACTCGAACACAGAATTTTATACAAATGATCTACTGAGCAGTTTAAACTCCATTTTACAGATATACACAAGAGTAAAATAGAATACTCAGAAGTACGATAATTAAAGGGAATAAAATAATGTCATTTTAACAAACTTTACCCTTTTCAAGCTTAAAATGTCTATTTCCTCTTTTGGCGTCGTCGCTTTTTTTCCTTTCGTCTGTTAAGTACGATCAACTTTTCCCACAATTTCGGTGTTTGCAACAGATATCCCTTTAGCTTACTGGTAAAGTTTAAGCTTTGAAATCTTAGTATTTTTGAGATTTCTATCGTTTTCCAGCGACTCAGCGGCAAATTACCTCTGTTTGTTTTTGTTTTTGCAAAGAAGTTGACCCGCATTAGCCTTGCAATCGTGCTCGTCCCAAGGCCGTCGGGGAATACGAAACTTGCCCACGATTATTGAAAATATAAGGTTTGAAATATACTAGATTTACGTTTTATTTTGACAAACTTCAGTCCAATATCAATCAATTGTGAAATTTCATAGGCGATCGAACAAGGATAAAATCACTTTTAAGGCGATTAAAAAATAAGGTTATGGTCCCCGAAAAGCTGCATCGAAACACCTTAAACTAACACATCACTCCAAGGTTGTTTTTTTTTTTAAATTACCAATGAATTGAAAAGGGCTAAGTATGCGAAAATTCTAAGTTATATGCACAAAGATAGAAAAATCTGCAAGGAAGAGTTTAGCTGGAACATTATAAATCGACGTCCTCTTGCCAGAAGTTCTGTATGTCACTTGTCAGAATTGACCTTAACAGGACCTCGATATCCCATGGCGACGCAGAGAAATGAAATATGTCTCTTCCAGATTTGAAAAATATTTCACAAGTGAGCCCAGTGAACAAGTTAGTTATTAATATTTTTCAGCACGTGGAGAGAAATGATTTTTTGTATCTGCAAGAGGCCATGTATTGTTGTATTTTTTATGTAAACACCAATGAAATACCAAACTACTTTACTTTACAGTAGAACCTCGACATAACGAAGTGCCAAGGGACTGGCAAAATATGTTCGCTATAACGAGGTTTCGTTATATCGAGGTTCTTTTTCATACATTTGACTATTACTGGGATGAAGAATATCATTCGTTATACCAAGGACTTCGTTATAGCGGAGCTCTCGCGCGCGCGAAGCGCGCAGCGGAGCACCATGGGTAAGAGAATTTGGTAAACTATCCATCCGAGAAAATTTGGTTATGACGTAGCGTACGCCCGCCCACTCGTACACACACTTCATGTAAGCAGATATCAAATGTCACAATAGATCTTGCACAACTTGACTAGCCTCTTAGTTATGTAAGCCATCCGTATGAGTACGATTAGATTGACAGCTGTCAAAATCAGACATCCGCTGACAATTATCGATTGACCATCTCGCGAGCTCAGATGAAAGACCAGTCGTTTTGCCCCTACCTATAAGCTGATATAATATTTCACAATGATGTGAAGTATATATGAGAGCGAGGGAGCACCATGGCATTGGGAGCGTGGTCAATTTCACTCCTCGCGGGAGATATGAACTCAATAAATTGATCTCGTTCCCAATGTGTGGCTTCATAGCTCAGTTGGTAGAGCAACGCACCGGTAACGCGGAGGTCACGGGTTCGAATCCCGTCGAAGCCCTGTTTTCTTTAGGCTTCTTCTTTCCGATTGCTTAAATTGGAAAATTTACTGCGATGATCATTCTTCACTTTCATAAGATGTCACACTTACCAATTCAACATAAAAACGAAACTACGCTGGGCAAGGCTATCCGTTGGCTGACAGTCGTTTAAAGTTATATTGGCAAGCCCAATTAAGGTCAATTGACAGCTGTCAAAATGGGACATGTGCAGACCACTATCAGAAAACTAATAAGTGGGCTCAGGTTCGCTCAGGTACGCGATCTGGCATTTTCCAATACATACCGGACGGATATGTCTTACTCACACTCGTAGTCTTTTAATTCGAATATTCGCCATTCTAATGAAGGTTAATTGACAGATGTCAAACTAGTGTTTCTGCTGACCAGTATCGCCTGACCGTATCGCGGGCTCAGTTATCGACCCACTAAGTTTCGAGTGTTGTTTGAAGGTATCCGCTGACAAGTTGCTACTTTTCAAATGATCGCAGGCTCAAGTTCAATCTTTTATTTTCATTGATGGTCAATCATGAGCCGCACTTTTAAAATGTTGATTTTGAACTGACCTCGTACGCGAAAATTCAACCGGCTTTTACATTTACATGCGTGGAAGGGAATTGACTTTTGTCACTGTCACGCGTTGATCACGCTCTACGTCCAATTTTTATGTTCTGATTGGTCAAAATTTGATAGGTGAGTTCATGCGGAAAGTTTATGCAGCGTCTGGTAACTTGCTTACTGATAGCTGGAGCTGACAGAGTTTTGTGTCATCTTGTGATGTTTTAAACTGTCTTTTTCTACTTGGTGTACAAAATGAAATACAGCTGCTATCAAGATTGTTCTGTAATTCATGGCTGGTTTGTTTATTGCGCTTTTTGTTGACAAATTCACCGCTTGTCAAAGTCATAGGAAATCCGATTTCGGATGGCATCGTTTCAAAAATGAGCTTACTCACTTGCCCTTACTTGAGGCATAAGAGGGTTGAAAAGTCTCAAGCGATTCTGGAACACTTGATGACCTTCAGAAGCAGCATTTCGACTGGTAAGGCTGAGCAATTATTGTCTTTGATGTGTTTTTTTTTTCGGTTTCCCGAAGTCGAGCGTATGGTTTATGCGGCTTAAGTTTATACACGAGCAATGATCTAACCTACAATAGTATCAGGTTTAAAAAGCCTTTCGACATTTTTTGACCGCAAATTCAAAGAAAAGGTTCCGACGATTTTTTATTTATGATTTTGGCTGTAAACAGAAAGCTCTGAGCGATTTTCTTGCCTCGAGTTCATCTTGAAAAAGAGCAAACACCGGGAAGCCCGCTTAAAACATAAATAAGCTGCTTACCTGACTCATGATTTTCAGAGACACTTTACTCTCAATACTTCTCTTCGTGAATGAAAATTATTGTCTCTGTACATGTTTCACCGAATTATATTTATTTTATTGATTGTTAGTAGTCCCTCTCGCAATTTTTATCGCTGCATCGGTTGTTTCCAGTCGAACATAAACATCGCATGCACGAATACTCAAAACGCCGCGCGTAAATATCACTCTCTTTTAAAGATTACACATAACAAAACCATACACAGTTTAATAAATAAAGGGAAATAAAACCTAAACATAACAATTTCTCCATCATGATGAAGCGTAAATGGTAACTCTATTAATCGCCCTGCAAATTTGGTGCCTGTCAAATGTGAGAACCCGCCCGGCTGGCCGAAAAGTGATTTTGGGATTTTTTTTATCGTTTTCACTAAAGCCCATAATTATTACTCTGCATATCACATAGGACCAGATTTTTTTAACTGAAAAGTCCCGGCATTATAGAATTCTCTTCATGAAAACGTTTTATAATTCAATGCTATAATTTGTTGTGCAAAGGAAGCGCGTGCTTTGATCGTCGTGGATATTGAATGAGTGCAAATTCTCTTGCAAAATTGTGAAAAACTGTAGAATTATAGGTTTAAATAAGGCAAAAAAGAACAAATTCTGTCCTAGGTCTGTATGATAAACAAAGGGCCTCATAGTACTGTTTACCTGAGACGTGATGAGAAAAAGTATGTTTAAAAGGCTGGTTTACCCGGCACCAGATTCGTCGCCAAGATTTACTAGTAACCTAAACTTGTCGAACACAAAAAATCCGGCCTGATTTTTTATTTTGGCCTCTCATTTAGACAGAGGAATGCAACGTGTAAATTGGCTGCCACCAAGGACTATCGTGGCGCGTGTGTTTCTTAAAATTATATTTCGGGGTTGTCCAATTATCCATAGTCTCTCTAACGGAGCAATGTTGGAGAGACTGGTGAATGCCACATTATGATGCAACAGCTAATGCAAATACAATACACGAATAGGTCTTATTTGTTTCCCAGGCCTAATCTACTGTGATCGAACATGATTGCTATTTTTGGGTGTACAAATAAGACTAATAACTCGATGTAAAATTTGTTTCACTCTTGGACTGTCAAATTATTTTCCTCTAAAATCATTTAGCCTTTGCCTCAAAAGTCAAATGAATGTGCCGTGATCTGTGGATTACAAGTTTATTGTTTGATTTAAATTATGAATTTATTAACGGGAGCTTCGCTTTTAGCCCTGGCTAAATCTATATATCATAGAGATTCGTTATATCGAGGTTCCAGTGTAGATAACATGTTATTTTTACATGTGAAGGTATCATGTTTTTGTGTGAAAGCTCACCTGGCATTTCATTGGTGTATTTTAAATAAAATGATATTTTTTTTAGTTTTTTTTTTTCTGAAAGACTGAAATATTTCGGGCCAAAGTGGTGGTTCACTTCCATGATCAGAATACCCCAGGGAAACTTTTAGACTTTCACCTAATCAGCGCTTGATTTATTTATTATTTGACAAGTCTAGGAATTTACTTAGTGTCCAATTTACAATGCATCATAGATTAACAAAACAACTTAAAGTCTTAATTTAGAGGCTCTGTAAGGCTGCGAACTAGGAACTAGGCTAGTTTTCATTAGTTATGAAATTTCATAAGGATTATGCGATCCAGTGCTATTTTGGATCACAATTGGTAGGGGGAGGGAACACTTCCTGTCTCTGGACACAGTTAAGTACAATGAAAATTTCACTTCTGATTAACATTATTAGTTAAAGTTTGGTTAACTCTCAGAATTTTAAGGGTAAACTGAGTCTTGATATTCTCATAACAGGTCTATCTTGTGATTGAAAAACGAACAGGCAAGAAAATGGCTGCTAAGATGTTTCGTCAGGGGGAAAATACAAGTGACACACAAAAGGTACAAAGTTATAACTACAATTTATAACAGTATTATCGTTCCGTTTATAGTCTTGTCCATGATCGTCACTTGGGTATTTATTGTATTTTGGTTTGCTGCTCTGAATATGAAGTTCTTTTTTTCCAAAAAAAAAATCCCTACTTTACTCCCCCCAGAGTAAGTAAAGAAGGCGTGAAGTGAGATTTTCAGAGGGATTGAGTGAACAAAAGGTAAAAATGGTAAAGGTCCTTATGTTATATTGGTAACCTGTCACAGTCATGATTTGACTGACAAACGTGAGGGTGATGGCACACTCATTCTTTTCACTGTACGCGATATCTACATTCCATTTGTTTATTAATGAGAACAGTTGTTCAAGAAATGCGAATGCGTTGTACTATGTTTTTTTATTACGTCCCTCAAGTCATGAAATTTGAGGCTGCCTCGATAATACAGCCATTTTTTTACCCATAGGTGATCGTATTAACGGGGTTCTACTGTACTTGTTTTTCGTCGTTTTCTGGAAATGAAATTTAATCAAAGGGTGCCTCTGGCTAACTCGTGGATTAAGTATTTTAAGCCCCGTTCACACCAAAGCTTAAATTTGTTTAAAAGCTGTTTAGTTAAACACGGTTTGAATTTTATTTCCTTCATAAAAGCTGCTAACTAACTTGAATGGATTGCAAATTTAGTGCAAATTACCAAATACGTTGAATTTTAATTTGAATCCTGTGTGAAAGCCTGTGTCTCAGTTTTCAATGTTGGATTTTCATTTGTAAAACCTGGTTTAATTAAACATGTTTAGTTGGTGTGAATGGGGCATTAGACATCAAAGCTGATAATCAACTTGCAATAGTCTACCCGTGTTAGGCTGTCAAAACTTGGGTCATACAATGCAAAATCTCTCTCACAAATTTAGGGCTTAGTTTGCCAGTTTATGTTGGACACATTTTACGATAAAAACATATGAGAAGGGGCTTGGACTTTTCTGGCTATTCCATCATTCCAGGGAACATATGTGACAGTAGGTGCCTATATGAGGCTAGAGCCTCTTTGGAAAGCGCTATTGTTTACTCACTGTAGTATTGAGTTTCCTGTCTTAAGACAGTATAAGTGGCTCATCCCCTTGCCAGTTCCCCCTCTTAGTCATTTTTATTATAGTTATGCTTCCAATAATTATTTACAAGTAAAGTTTGACTTACTTCGTGAACAGTTCGATACTTATCCAACTGTATTCCTCCTAGTTCGTCTTCCATGCGATGTTTACTTGCAGGTTGACCACATACATGTATGTTCTATGGTTTCGCATCATGAACTTGTCAATTGTGCAGCCAATGCTTGGCGTGCTTACAATACTTGCTTCCTTCAAGAAGTGCTCGTTTAACAGTATTGCTCATTATAGTTTGACAAATAAAACTAATTCTCATCAACGCTTAAAACATTGGCATGAGATTTCACATTTTGAGGTCACTTTCCAGTTAGGTTGAAGTTATTTACCGGCTTGACATACCCCTTGTGAGCTTGGGGAGTCGAAGAGCAATTGGTCATCTCTTCGTCATGTTAAGCGCCTGGACGAGTCAAAAAGCTTCAAGAGATCATGAAATTCTGTCTCCAAGTTAGCCATAATGCTAATTTGAAACATTCGAAGTCCACATGAAGACAACTTACCATCCTATACACAAAAGCTACAAAATCATAACATCGAATGTACGATCAGCATTTCTTTATCGCGCGGACGTCCAGGAACGATCGGTCTACGACAATATTGTCGTTTTGATATCGGAAGTTCTCGTGCCGTCCGACTGATCCGAACGGTGTCCACACCTGAGTGTGATACATTTTGCATATCACAGTGCCCACAGTAACTTGTTCCTTACGCTACGCGTTATCTACGAGTTAAAAAAATTGAGTTGAATTTTGACTTTTGTCACTTTTGGAAAAAGAGTGAAGATTTTTTTTATTAGGGAGTTTTAGATATGATTGTTGTCAAAAATGGTTTATCTTTCGTTTTTGGTCTTAGCTGGTAAAGTCTGCGGAAAATGAATGCAGGGCTCTAACTTCAATTAAACACGAGCACATTGTTGAGTTCTTTTTTGCGGAGAGTATTCGCAACACCGTTCTTCTGTTTCTGGAGTACATGGAAGGGGTAAGAAAAATTTAAGTTAATCAAAATAAGTTGGCTTTAAATTTTATATATAAAAGTTCAGATACAGTGATTTTACTTAACCCGTGAAATACGCACTATCATGCACTTATTCTATTGTCTTCTTTTGTTTATTTGTAGCCGTTTGGCACTAGTTGTTAGTAACTGTTTCACGGGTCAAGTATTATTGCTCTAAACTCAGTGGGATTTGGTTTAAAAGGGAGTAATGTATGAAGTTAAAAATATGCAAAAAATTGCAATTAAAGATATGTAATTATACCAGAAAAAATAAACCGTGGAGAAAATGTAAACTAGTAATAATAGTTAACTTCAGGATTTATAAAATTAAAATAAACCCTCAATGTCAACTAACAATATAATATCGTTGTAAATAACACTTCACCGTTTATTTTTTGTATGTTATTTACATGTGCTTCATATTCATTTTATTTGTTTTTTTTTTTGTTTCTTTACTTATATTTTCAATACTTTTCGGTAAATATGTATTTATCATGTATATCATGTATACATGTAGTCTATATCATTATATCATGTAATTTTCGCCCACCCGACTCGATTCGCCATGCTAGTGTCAAACGGGCGTGTAATACAAACAATTGTTGTATTCGTGTTTGTTGTTTTTAAAATAAGGTCTTTTAAGTGTAAAAATATTTTTATAGTGAGAATGATAAATTGGATGTTTAAACCATTTACATGGGTAAACCGGTCATTTCACGGTATGGGCTAATGGAAAATAAAACTCAGGACTGGTGAATTTCGTTCAAGAATCGCGTTTACCAAGTCCCATTTACTGAGAAACGCCTCCAAAATGCTCATACTGGTATAAAAAAGGGGTTAGAAGAAATGGGGCACGAATTTCCCAGTGGAACATTCCTGCCGGAAACAGGACTAACTTTTCAGACATTCCGTTGCTCCCGGAAATTTTCGTCTTAAACTACCCAAAAAATCGTGTTATTTTTACTTTTTTTCTAACCGAAATTTCCGGAAGCTTTTTTCCTTAGTGAACGTGTTTTCCGCCAGGGTTCTCTGCGTGACTTGCTTCCAAGTCCCATTTACTGAGAAACGCCTCCAAAATGCTCATGCTGGTATCAAAAATGTGTGAGAAGAAATGGGGCAAGAATTTCCCTGTGAAACATTCCTGCCGGAAAACAGGACAAATTTTTCAGACATTCCGTTGCTCCGGAAATTTTCCTCTTAAACGACCCAAAAAATTGCGTTATTTTTACTTTCTTCTTGAACGTGTTTTCCTCCAGGGTACTCTACATGACTTGGTTAGGGCCAACGGACCTTTGGAAGAACCCTTGGTGGTCAAGTTCACAAGACAACTTCTTTCTGCTGTTGATTTTCTCCACAATGCAAGAAATCCCATTATACACCAAGATATTAAAGGTTAGGTTTGAAAAGCTGTTGCCTCTTGTATATACGCAAGCCTGAGTGGTCAAGGGTTTTCGAAAACAGGTGTTTATGTAAACGGAGGTTTCGTACAACGCTTTCCAATGTTTTCTATGAGAACGCAAGCTTGAACACAGGCAGGCAACATACAGTAATTTTCCTGAATGAGTTGCTGCGTTTCTTATTAAATGTTACGACTTGTCAGTGCGGCGCTGTAGTCGATACCGACATTTATTTTTGCGCTTATAAATAACACAGCAGTACGAAACATTCTTCATTTTCTAGGTTTGTTTAATTGGAAACAACAACATTGGAAGAAAGTTGAAAACGTCAGTTGCAAACGGGTCTATGTTCTTTTCACGATACGAAACACGGAAAATATTTAATGCGTTTTCGTTAACATGAAAACCGTGGGTTTGACCTCTAGTGTGGACATTGCCTAAGTGTTAATGAACATATTGGTTATTTCAGGCAGCAATGTTTTGCTGGATGGCGCCCAGAAAAACATAAAACTGGCTGACTTCGGAATCTCTACAATAATGGAGGTACGATCGCGTCCTTTATGTGAGGTTTACATATCCTTTTGCCCTAAAAAAGGCAAGTAAAATTAAATATACCGGTTGGCCTCAAATAAATCAGCGCTTTGCCGTATTGCCAGCCTTGCATTCAGTTTTGTTTTAATTCCCACTTCAAGTGACGTCTGGCATTAGCATCTCTAAATAAGATATCCGCAAGAAAGGACCAGTCGATTGTATTTACGCGTTGAGTGGACCTCTGCATTCAAGGGTTTTTATATATACCGGTCGCTTCCTAGAGGGTGTTCATTTACGAGAGGTTCCAACCATAGTAATCTGACTGGGAAAAATATGCTGTTTTTGATGGGTGGTCGCTTATGGGAGGTATATAGTCGCACATGGAGGTTCAACTGTACTCTTTTTTATTGCTAGCCACTAGGACTTATAACATATTTTTGTCATTTGTCTGATGACTGCCTGTTGATTTCTACAGGATCCAAGAACTCCCACCGGTGGCCTGGAGACTGAAAATAATATAGCGTCCGTTTATTGGACAAGCCCTGAGCTTCTCGCTGGGGACCGATTTAGTCGCAACACAGACATTTGGTAAGCAGAATTCAACGGCTTTCTTGCTTATAGTGGAATTGACTTCATGTCTTTGCCTAGTTAATTTCACTCTCTTTAATTTGTCTGAGTTTCAGGTCTGTAAATTATACCATTGCGCAGGGCTTTACTGTAGTGACTAATACCTTCTTCTCCATACATTGATGCCTTTGCTAATTTGTGGAGTTTACGACATGTTATATTTCACGAACCCTTCAGTCAGTTTTAGGGCCTGTTTACATGGAGGTGGGAAAACCCGCCTGTCCATATAATCTCCCACTTTGATTTGATCACGTTTACATGATAGGTGTGGTGACCCGCCACATGTTACCTCACCTCCCTGGGGTCCCCCACCCCCATGTAAACAGGTCCTGAGTCTATGTTCCACACCGGATAGCTCTTGCGCCGGCACGAAAACCATTCCGGGTAGGGCTTCTGTTCACACATAAGAACCGTGATATTGGCGCGATTTCTGTAGCGGGGCGAAGCTGCACCGCGACGATCTGAAAGTGGATTTTCACATATCAGATACGTTGCTGCCACTCTTTGTCACAGTGTTTTCAGGTGTTTGGCCGTCGCCGTTCATTCTTTAGTAGAAAGGATTCCATGTTGGCATAACCTAGAGGATATCCTGTATACCAGCACCTCTAAAACAAACGTAAAAAATGCAATTAGCTCAGAACTTTGCTAGCAGGATAGTTCTTGGTCTCCGGAAGTATGATCACATTTCTGAGATACTGAAGTCACTTAGATGGCTTCCTATTGCTGTTAAACTACTTATGAATGATTCTGTTATGGTCCAAGTGGCCGAACACCAGACTATCTTAGTCAAAAACTGAATTTACACGTAGACTAGCTCATAACGATAGAAAAATAAATTACAAAGACGACCTGAATCTACCGAGATGCAGATTAAAAACTGGGCATCGATCTTTCGCCTTTAGAGAGGCTGCTTGTTGGAACAAACTACCCAAAGACATGAAGGAAGTTGCACATTACCGAATATGTTCTTACAAGGACTTTCATTATTTTAACACTTATAATTAGTTGTCTAGTTTAATTGTTTTTTTCTTGTATCTAGTTAGTTCTAAATAGTTAGCTCATTGTAACTGAAAAGCCCTGTTAAGGGAGTCTTAATAAATGTATGGATGTATTTATGTATAGCCTAGCCAAAGCCGCGGCGCGTCGAAAAGAATGGAACGGCTTGCTTCTCCGAAATTTTGCTTCACCTCGAATTTGAGTTTTCTTACAGTTCTTGCATTGCTTTTAGGAGTGTTGGATGTACAGTGGTGGAGATGCTAACTACAGAGCCACCTTTAGGCTTTGAAAAACTATCCGTTGAGCAAAAAATGTTCCGGATTGTAAACCATCAAATTGAACCAACGACTGATTGTACGCCCCCGGCGTTTATGTTTTTAAAACGGTGCCTTTGGTAAGTTCTATTATCTGGTAAAGATTGATTTTTGTATGCATGTACTAAACCCGACACACCCTGGATCACCTCCAGATGTTATTCTTGTCAAATATTTATTAATTTAATTCAGTATTTTATTCATTGTATTTGTCTTAAATGGCGAGTTTATTAAACGGATAACTTTCAATGGATTTTTAGCGGACTCGCATGAGCGGTTAAGACCTTGTGAAATTAACAATCGGACTTGTGAGCGGCCCCATAAGCGTGTTAGAATCGGAGTCGCAAAGATCAGAAGGTTTGCTTTTTGTTGCGACTCCGCTTATGACTCCGTCGCGTGCGATCAAGGGAAAACTAGATCATCGGAGTCGAGAGCAGAAGCAGAGAAATAAATCAGTTACAATGCTCGTTCTCATCAGTTGTGATCGGGGGACCAGGAGGATGGTTCTTCCACTTCTGCTTGCGACCTCGACAGTCTAGTTTTCGTTAGGTCGTAAGCAACAGAGTCGTACGATAATAGGAACTGGAACTCTGTTTTCACTAGATCATAAAGCTCCGCCTTTCTGATTACGACTCAGACTCGACTCTGTTGATGATGAAAAAAGCCTCCAAGCCCTAATATTTCCCAGCATCCAATTGTCCATTTTTACGATAACAGCATTTCGCTACAATGACCAGAATCATTCAGGATTTTGTTTTCTAGTGCAAATGAGGGCTTTTGTTATTGAAGACTCTCTGAAATGGGTCATTTGCAGGAGGACGTCATTTTTCTACTACTACCAGAATCCTTCAGGGTTTTTCTTCCTTGTGCGAATTTGGGCTTTTGTTATTTAAACCTCGCTGGGATTATTACCAATTAAAAAAAAAAGATTTTAAAGAGTTCTTTTCATTAATGAAACTGTTTAAGAAATGGAGAACAATTTAAAAAATTAAAGAATATCCATCGTGATTTTAAGAAATACAATATTCAAACTGTTTCAGTTTTTTTTAATTAAAAACTGTTAATGTATATAAAAATTTTCTTTCACTTTTAGCCAGTCTCCAGGTGGATATGTTTGTAAACGGGCGAGTGTGTTGCAGCGTGTGTGTATGAATTATAAACAAATTTAAGCGGACATAGCCTTAGTAAATGTCTTAGTGAAAATCCTCACGGCGCTTTTTTTCGTCTCTTGTAATCCAGCCCAAAAGAAATTCGAGCATCGGCTTCCGAACTGTTGTCAGATCCTTTTTTGAACCATGAACAACTGGAAGAAGTCCATCCACAAGGAGGTATGGCTGTGGTTAATATATAGATTTAGCCAGGGCTAAAAGCGAAGCTCCCATTAATAAATTCATAATTTAAATCAAACAATAAACTTGTAATCCACAGATCAGGGCACATTCATTTGACTTTTGAGGGAAAGGCTAAGTGATTTTAGAGAAAAATAATTTGACAGTCCAAGAGTGAAACAAAGTGTACATCGAGTTATTAAATAGTCTTATTTGTACACCCAAAAATAGCAATCATGTTCGATCACAGAAGATTAGGCCTGGAAAACAAATAGACCTATTCGTGTATTGTATTTGCATTAGCTGTTGCATCATAATGTGGCATTCACCAGTCTCTCCAACATTGCTCCGTTAGACAACCCCGAAATATAGTTTTAAGAAACACACGCGCCACGATAGTCCTTGGTGGCAGCCAATTTACACGTTGCATTCCTCTGTCTAAAAGAGAGGCCAAAATAAAAAGTCAGGCCGGATTTTTTGTGTTCGACAAGTTTAGTTTACTAGTAGATCTTGGCGACGAATCTGGTGGCGTGTAAACCAGCCTTTTAAACATACTTTTTCTCATCACGTCTCAGCTAAACATAACATAACGTAACATAAAACTTTATTTATACTCGAATTTTAGAGTAGCTAACAAGCTAATATCTTCGAGCTGACACTACATAAAAACTATATAGAAAATATATATGTACATGAAATGCAAGGAAAGAAAATATCATTTACAATTCACAATTTTAAGTTTAATTATGTCAGGCAAAAAGAATCTACATGAAGGTAACATCCTGTATTCTGCTAAACAGTACTCTGAGGCCCTTTTTTATCATACAGACCTCGGACAGAATTTGTTCTTTTTTGCCCTATTTAAACCTATAATTCTGCATTTTTTCACAATTTTGCAAGAGAATTTGCACTCATTCAATATCCACGACGATGAAAGCACGCGCTTCCTTTGCACAACAAATTGTAGCATTGAATTATAAGACTTTGTTATGAAGAGAATTCTCAGATAATGCCGGGACTTTTCAGTTAGAAAAATCTCGTCCTATGTGATATGCAGGATAATAATTACGGGCTTTTAATGAAAACGATAAAAAAAATTCCCAAAATCACCTTTTCGACCAGCCGGACGGGTTCTCACTTTTGACAGGCACCAAATTTGCAGTGCGACTAATAGAGTTACCGTTTACGCTTCAACATGATAGAGAAATTGTTATGTTTAGGTTTTATTTCCCATTATGTATTAAACTGTGTATGGTTTTGTTATGTGTAATCTGTAAAAGCGAGTGACATTTACGCGCGGCGTTTTGAGTATTCCTGCATGCGATGTTTATGTTCGACGGGAAACAACCGGTGCAGCGATAAAAATTGCGAGAGGGACTACTAACAATCAATAAAATAAATATAATTCGGTGAAACATGTACAGAGACAATAATTTTCATTCACGAAGAGAAGTATTGAGAGTAAAGTGTCTCTGAAAATCATGAGTCAGGTAAGCACAAGCTTATTTATGTTTTGAGCCTTTTTCAAGATGAACTCGAGGCAAGAAAATCGCTCAGAGCTTTCTGTTTACAGCCAAAATCATAACTAAATAATCCTCAGAACCTTTTCTTTGAATTTGCGGTCAAAAAATCTCTAAAGGCTTTTTAAACCTGATACTACTGTAAGTTCGATCATTGCTCGTGTATAAACTTAAGCCGTACGCTCGACTTCAGGAAACCAAAAAAAAAAAAGGCACATCAAAGACAACAATTGCTCAGGCTTACCAGTCGAGATGCTGCTTCTGAAGGTCATGAAGTGTTCCAGAATCGCTTGAGACTTTTCAACCCTCTTACGCCTCAAGCAAGGGCAAGTGAGTAAGCTCATTTTTGAAAACGATGCCATCCGAAATCGGATTTCCAATGACTTTGACAAGCGGTGCATTTGTCAACAAAAAGCGCAATAAACAAACCAGCCATGAATTACAGAACAATCTTGATAGCAGCTGTATTTCATTTTGTGCACCAAGTAGAAAAAGATAGTTTAAAACATCACAAGATGACACAAAACTCCCGGACAAAACTCTGTCAGCTCCAGCTATCAGTAAGCAAGTTTCCAGACGCTGCATAAATTTTCCGCAAGAACTCACCTGTCAAATTTTGACCAATCAGAAGATAAGAATTGGACGTAGAGCGTGATCAACGCGTGACAGTGAGAAAAGTCAAAAGCGATTGCCTTCCCTGAATGTAAATGTAAAAGCCGGTTGAATTTTCGCGTCCGAGGTCAGTTCGAAATCAGCATTTTAAAAGTGCTGCTCATGAACACGACTTATTTCATATGGTTTTAAAAAAATTTAACTTGAGCCTGCGATCATTTGAAAAGTATCAACTTGGTAGCGGGTACCTTCAAAAAAACACTCGAACTCAGTGGGTCGATAACTGAGCCCACGATACGGTCAGGCGATACTGGTCAGCAGAAACACTTTTTTGACAGCTGTCAATTAATCAAAACATGGATGTACAATATCAGGTTGCAGGCTCCCAAACTAGCCAGAAAGTGTGATATTAAACATTGGTATGCCTGTGGTGCGGATGGACGGAAGGTCGGGTGGTCGGTGTACGGTCACGTGATTGTCGAATTTGCTAGGATAATTATAGATAGATTTTCTAAGCTATGGGGCTTCGAATTAAGAACGCAATCAAATCAAAATATCAGCGCAAAACTCTACGTGACCTCAATGGATAGAAAAATGAGCCCGCGATACGATCAGGTGATGATGGTCAGCGTATACTTTAGTTTGACAGCTGTCAATTAACCTTCATTAGAATGGCGAATATTCGAATTAACAGACTACGAGTGTGAGTAAGACATAACCGTCCGGCATGTATTGGAAAATGTTAGATCGTGTACCTGAGCGAACCTGAGCCCACCTTATTAGTTTTCTGATAGTGGACTGCACATGTCCCTTTTTGACAGCTGTCAATTGACCTTAATTTGGCTTGCCAATATAACTTTAAACGACTGTCAGCCAACTGACAGCCTTCCCCGGCGTAGTTTCGTTTTTATGTTGAATTGGTAAGTGTGACATATTATATCAGCTTATATGCAGGGGCAAAACGACTGGTCTTTCATCTGCGCCCGCAAGATGGCCACGTGATAATTGTCAGCGGATGCATGATTTTGACAGCTGTCAATCTAATCGTACTCATACGGATGGTATACATAACTAAGAGGCTAGTCAAGTTGTGCAAGATATATTGTGACATTTGACATCGGCTTACATGAAGTGTGTGTACGGGTGGGCGTACTCTACGTCGTAACCAAATTTTCTCGGATGGATAGTTTACCAAATTTTCTTACCCATGGTGCTCCGCTGCGCGCGCGCGAGAGCTCCGCTAATATGTAGTGCTAAAATACTTTTCTTTTACTTCTTTAAGTGAATTTGACTTTAATGCTCTTATGAATTGTACGAAACCTGAAATTGAACTATCACTGCAAAAAATCCCACATATCTATATTTAATTTTGGAGGCCCTCCATGCATTAACGGAAATTGTATTAGGTATTCAATGACTAAAATGTTCACGCGTGCAGTAGCATGCAGTTTTAGAACTGAATTGTACGACGTTTGAAAATGCTTACAATGTGAGTATTTCTGCTGCATTATACCGGATGCTGCGGATCCAGTATCGTGATCAGGAACGTGTGACTGCAGTAGTGGTAGTTTTAGTTTTCAATTTACACCCTAGACAACACAAGTTTGTTTTTTATGTATCACACCCTTGCGAAATGCGAAACACAGTACTTAAGCTAACCTTTAAAGCAGAAAGAAAGGATATACCAAAGCATATTAGCTTTACCTAGAAAAATTGAAAGAAAAAAAGGTTAAAAATCAGCTGCAAAGCTTGCAAACAAAGGGGTAAATTTGCATTTATTGACATGTACTGGAAGACTCTAATAACAAAACGATCCTAGCGAATGAGTCGAGCTGATTCGGTTTATGTGCCAACTAATTAAGGTAAGAGCTCTGTCCGTATTCTTGTCACGGTGGCAAAGACAAATAAATATTGTTATTAGATTGTTAGTTATCTGGTCTTATCTCTAAAACTTCTTGTTCCATAGATCTTTCTTCTCTGAATACAAATTGAAATTCACCTTGAATTGTGTATTCGATTAAGTTGTAAATATGGTGTATATGGACTAATTTTTTAAAATGTTCTTAGTGAAAGCAGAAAGGGTTGATTTAGGCCGAGTTAGCCTGCAGGTGCAGTGATATCGCCACCGTTATCAACAAGTTTGACTTCTGAATGTATGTCTAGAATATCCGGAACAGTGCCCTGGTTGAGAGCATGGTTAAAAACCAATCTTATTTTGATAACATTACAAAACTTTACTTATGTCAGTGAAACAGTTATCAGGGCCGGAGCAGAGAGGGGGTGAGTCTTGAGGTTTTGAACCTTGTGCAAGGGGTGGGTCACCCTATTTTATTACGTAGATAACGAGACAGTTGACCACACTTGTTATATAAAACACAACCACCTGGAATTGTCGCTAAAATACTCTCAAACCTGTTGTGTGAGAAAATGCAAGGGCTGACAGGCCGCACATCTATACCGGCGTGAAACCCTTTGTTAATCTTTTTTTTGGCTTTAACCAGCATGTCCTTTAATGATTTTCCTTTCTTGAAAGGAAATGATAGGTAGGTCTTGTATAAGATTCCACTTTTTCACTCAAGCTTCCTTTATAGTAGACACTGAGGGTTGGTATTGTGTCACGAATGACAATTTAGACTCCCTTTCTGTGAATTTTATTTTTGATAGTAGGTTTTTCTATCAAAGTTTGTGGGTAGCCTCTGTCCATCAAGCGTTTTTTGAAATTGGAATTATTTTCCTCAAAGGTTATTTCTGAGGAGTTTTTTCATAGGATTCTCAAGGCTTCTCCTTTGACAAATCATTTTTTAACACTTGGAGGGTGACATGAGTTGAAATGTGTGTGCAGGAGGGTTTCCGTTTGTTTAAAATTTGTCTTTGCATCAAGGATAGGTTTTCCTTGAATCTTGTGCCTTTGTATACAACCGTGTCTAAAACCACAGTCTCAGTGTCAGATATTTCGGCCGTGAATTTGATAGTTGGGTGATGTAAGTTTTCTTGTTCGATGAAGGCTTCGATGTCTGGTTTACTTAAGTCCCATAGGGAAAAGATATCGTCAATGTAGCGTTTCCAAACTGTAGGTTTACAAACGGTTCTGCTTAGAATTGTTGTTTCAATATATGCCACAAAAATGTTCCAAAGGAAACTGCTGTCTTTGTGCCCATTGCAGTTCCATGAGTTTGTAGGTAGAGCTTTCAATTGAAGTGGAAGAAATTTTCTTTGAGGATTAATCTAAGCATTTCCGGCAAGTAATGGGTAGGAATAGTGCCGAAGGGAGGGGGTGGGCCATGTGTTTTTTATCAACCACATTTCCAAATGCTCTGCCCCTCCCACCCTATAATTTTTTGCCCAGTCCCTTACCACGAGTGATGTGCATAAAATTATTAAGAGCCTACCTTCAAGGAAAGCTCACCTTTGCGACAAAGTTAACGCCAAAATTCTGAAAGACAGCTCACCAGTTATCGCCCCCATTATAACTAGTCTTATCAACAATTCCTTCACTTTGAGTACTTTTCCACTTCCATGGAAGAAAGCAGAAATCGTCCCAATTCTTAAATCCGGGGACAGTGAGGAGCCTGTGAACACGAGACCAATATCGCTCCTCCCTATTTTATCTAAAGTGTGCGAAAGAGCAGCTCTCTTGCGTTGTACCAATTTCCTCGATTGAAGTGGAAATAGAAAACTTCACTCAACCGAGTCTGCGCTACTTCACTTTACTGATGAATTGCTTAATAACGTGGATCAAAAGAGGATATCTGTTATTGTTTTTTTTGACATGTCCAAGGCTTTCGAAAGCATCCGATACGATTTAATGTTATGTTAACTTTTCAAAGTTAGTGTATCCGAATTTTCGTGTGCCTGGTTCGAAAGCTATTAATCACAACGTGAACAAGTCATTAAAATTCAGAATACCGTATCCCATCCCTTACCTCCAACGGTTGAGTTACAGCAAGGATCCATCATGGGCCCGGTGTTGTTTATATTATATATAAAAAACCTGCTTCAAGTGCCAAAAAAACTGCGAACCACTCGTCTATGTGGATGACAACACACTCTTCTTTGGGTTCCCCTCCAGCAAACTTTACAAAACTTAACGACGTTATCTCTGCAGTAAACGAAGATCTTAAAGAAATATCGATTTGGTGCTGTAGAAATTCACTGCTCATCAACCCTGACAAAACAAAGCACGTTTATGTGGGCGTCCCACAACTCATGAGGACTTTACCTACCCCGTTACCAAGTGCGACAATGCTGGGAACTCGTCTAGATGTTTAGTGTGATAAAGCTTACGAAGAAACGTTTAGTGGTCATGGTCACCGTTGAGAGGGATATTGGCATCATCATAGTCAGGCATGGTATTATGTTCCCTTTTTTAGATTACCTCATTTTATGTGTATGGTTGCACACTTATTTATTCCCCATTCCAGACCAATACCTTTAAACATCACTTTCAACTTGCTTGACACAACTGCCGCCTTTTGTTCAGACTTGTGGTATGTTCTGAGATCGTCTACAAACAACGGATGCGTGATCTTTTGGTTGAGAGCGTGAGATAAATTGTACCCCTCTGTGCTTCTCAAGTACCATGCGATTGGATTCAGTGCAAGAGTAAATAATCTTCCACAAAAGGAGTCGCCTTGCAAATCCTTTTGTTCACTTTGATTGGACCGATCTTCTCTTTACCCTCGCTCGTATTTACCTCCAGTGTGATTCTCCATTTCTTCATCATGACAGATTTAATAAGGTTTATTAGGCCAAAATGTATCCCATTCGTCTCCAGTGTTCCCTCAAGTCCACCCAGCTGCAGCATAAGTTCTTCTTTTGGAAGTGTGCATCTTCTAGTACCATTTAAGAAGATTTTGTCATTTAGCAAGTTCTCAACACAGCCCGTAGTCTTTGCTTTCCCCTCTTTGATCAATCTGCATCAAGCGATACTTTTCCTCGTGTAAATGTAAAAAATATTATTACTATTATTATTATTATTATCATTATTGTTATTATTATTATTATTATTATTATTCAACATGTGAAAGATGTACTCTCGGCCAATAGCTCCAAGAAATGGGTGTACAATCTACCCTCTAAGCAGAAGAAGAAAGAGAAAAAAAGAAAAGCCTACGTTGTATAAGCCTAATGGTTTCTTTGGACTTTATAGCCATATTCTAACGAATTTCAGTAATTTAATACTGTGTCATAATAAGGTGGTGGAAAAAAAAAATAAAGAAAACCGTAAATAGTGGACTTCGACAACCCCCAGGACCTCTAGTTTCCTTATGGCACTGTCGTTTGTAGGAGGAAAGTCAAAACAGCTCCAAAAAGTATTCAAGCAACAGGGTAGGAATACTTACAGCATGCCCTTCAGCAAGCTTCGGCAGTAGCGCCTAAGGGTGCCCAGCATCGAGAAATCATGTGGTGTGTTTAAAGTTTGACTACAGAGGGTGTTGGAAGGAACATGTGGGAGGGACAGCCAGGACTTTTTTTTCTGTGCTTCCTTGAGCAAACAGATGGACAACAACCCACGTCAGCTGCCATCCAAGAGCATACCGACGTCCCTGGCCACAATTCCTCACTAGATAACGCAAGGATCCTTGCAAGAGAAGAGAATCTTAGCCAAGGAAAGATCAAGGAAGCCCTCCGAATAAACCGTAGCCACCCGGTCCTCAGCCGCGACCGAGTTTACGAGAGCACGCTCGCGTTGGTCAGTTTCGTGTCTTAAAAAAGGCAATTGGCAGTTTTCGAAACTTCGACTTAAGTTTCTATTTGTTTCTGTGTTGTAAATTTATTTTCAATGGCCTTGTAAGACTCCCCACGTGAGCATTACATCATGCCTCATTGTGATTGGGAATGGCCCATTATTCTTGAAAGGATAAGCACAAATCGACACTTACTCCGTCTCGATAATGGCAGCCTGTTACTTTCATTCCTCAAAACCATTGATGGGCTTGGATTTTTCCCTCGCGGAGGACGCAACGACTGGGAAAACATAGAAAGCCACAAAGTATAAAACTTATTGTGGCATGAAATTACCTCGCCAAGCAAATAATTCAACTATGACGGAATCACCGAAATCAGCAAAAATACATCTGCACCCTGTTAGGCCCACAAAATCATTTTCAAGCCACTAGCTGAAACCAATCCACCGCGGCAATCCATTTTCAATGTAGCTTTTGTTCTGATTCAGAAAAGCTCGCGTAGTGACTTCAAACAGCATGGCAAGCTTTGCCAAATCCTTGTACAAATCCTTGTTTTCCTCGGCTGGTTAACTGTAAGTGTACCAAATATTCAAATGTACAGTAACTTTGGCGTTATTTTCTGTGTTTTTCTAGTGTTGCATTTTATGGCAGTCTTATTGGGGCTTTGTCTTTATGCCTCAAATGATTTTCTCTAGTCATTCTTTCCTCGGCGAGTGAAAAATATTTAGCCCGTCATCAGTTAAGCAATATACTTTTCCTCGATTTTGCTTACGCCATTTCTTCGGCAACTTTGGTTTATCAAGTGGACGGTGGTAAAAACGAACACCACAAACAGATTTAAAACAGTTTCTAGACAGATGAACCGTAATAGTTTAAACTCTACCATTCGGCGAAAAAACTATAAATATTTTGCTTCTTTTTCGCAGACAGTCTGTTTACTTTCGGTGCTTCAGTAAGAAGAGCGTGGGAAGATAAGGTTATTATGAGTATTCCTAATCGATACACACTAAGGAGGAGACTTTTCGCCATAGAGAATACGATTAATCCTGTTCATTATCATTAATACCTTTCCGTTATTGTTGTTTCTAGAATTCTATTGTTGAATTCAAGAGTAAACGAAGGTGATATTGCGCGTAGCACGAACAAAGTATCCCATGCGGCCAGTAATCCAAAAACTCGTGAAATACGATAATCGGAAGTCATGCAATTTCCACCTGCTTAGTAACCTTGTAACCTACGACAAGTACTTTCATTAAGGATTTAATCTCAACTTTTTGATCTTCTACTTGTTGCTGCCGGGCATCAGCCGGCAGCAGACCATATTCTTGAGCGATTTGAGATTTATAGTTCAATGGTTCCATGGTTCGATGGTTCATCTGTGACTGCAGCGCTGTGCAGTCAGCGGTTTGCTTAAGCAAGTGCTTAGCTGCCGCGCCTGTTTTTCTCTTAGGAGCAACCCGCCATTATGTAAGATCTCTGCAGAAATCGTAGCTTATCGGATGCTTGCTGTCTTTTTAAACGGCTTAAACGGTAAGAACAGTTCCAGAAGTATTGTACGGAACATTTTTTCGGTTTATTTTTTTTATTCTAGGTTTCAAGATTGGTTATAGCGAGTATTCTTTTGTCACACAGATTGTTATCTCGGGAATCAGGATTGTAAGTTACATACGTGAACGGCATGTGCTGTACATCTACCTGACCTGTGAATAAACAAGTTTTGGTCTTTACGTTATTTGTTCGCAACTCACCTCATCCTGTGTACGATGATTGTTCGATGAAGAAACAGCCTATCAGCACTGCTGTTGCTGTTGTTGTTTTACAATTTCGGGAATTATCAAAATGAATTACAAAATGGTATTGAAACCTTAGCGAGTTATATGAATGTAAGCATATTTGTCATCGTGATTGGTTCATTTTTTATATTACGCTCTGAGTGTTTCATAATGCCAGCAAGTCTAAGTTATTGACTTTAATAAAAAAGAATTCATATGTTCAACTGTTCTACAAACTGTAGCAACTAACGGCATCGCAACTAACGACAGCACCTCCCTTCTCAATGAGAACTTCTAGTCTTATTATACTATTTACATTTTGCTTGTAATTTAATTGGCAACCAACGAATACTTTGCTCTGATGTTACACGCTTAAAGATATCAACAAAAAAATTGTATACCGTTGAGTTCTTCGTCATCATCGTGCATTCACGTTGGACTGTGTTGCCCAAATCATATTAAAACGCCTTACGCCAATGCCCCTCATCTCATTGTATAGTTCCAGAAGGTATTCATACCCCCCCCCCCCACTTCCGGAGGGCAACGGAAATTTCGAGGGAAGGGGGGGATCTTAAACGAGGTAATTTCCAAGGGGGTGGGGTTGCTTACAGAGGTTTTTTTTTCAAGGGGTTTGAGTAAGAATGGTGAGTTACTAATAACAAAAAGCTTCTCTGTTGACCAAGTTTTCAGTTATTTTTCTGTTACCGGTATTGTTTAAGTTGATCATCTTCTACCAACGGTCAGCTGGATCCTTTTCTTCACGGCTTGTGCGATAGTTTCCTTTAACACAATTGTCACCTGCTCATGGATAAACTTCCGGTTATCTAGTTGTTACTTTATTACACATTTGATTCAACGTAATTTGGTCGGGTTTTATGCCTTTTTGTAACATGTTCATGTGTTTGACCCGTTGTTACTTACATGTACTTTACTTAAGGGTTTAGCCCACTTCTGACCCACTGCTACCTGTACACCTATTAATTATATAAATGGCCAACAAACGTGTCGAACGCCCTCTCCTAAGCTCCCATTACTCCTAGTTAGCTAAGAATGTCCTTGAGTTCATTAGACACCGTATAAACATAAATGAAAAGATTTGTTCTCCTTTTATCCCAGAAACCATTCTTTCGCGTAAAATATAAAGCGACAACTTTTCTTGTACACATATATTCTTTCCAGAGGGTACCCAACCAAGTTGAAAAATTGTGGAAATTCCAGGGGGTGGGGGTCTAAAGCAAAAGTGCCCTCTGTGGGAGGTATGGATATATTTTGGAACTACGCGTTAGAACTTATGATAAGCGCAGATTAACCTTGTAAACATTTCTTCTCTATCATTATGTGCTTATCATTGGCTTTTCCAAGGGTTGACACCCCGGGAACATGCGGTTGACAATGTTTTGGGCGCGGGAGGTGGGGACATTGTTTAGCTTTGGAAACGAACGTTTTAAACCACAGGGATGCACCCCTGGGATTTGGCCGTCATGGGGCAGTGGCACATTTATGACTAAAAATAATGATGTTGCCAACATTGAAGGTTTGGCCAGATCTATGAAAGGGATTACTCCCAGCTGAGCAATTTTTAACGCAATGCTCGAGAAAATGTTGGGGCCACGGTTTTTCTAAACCATGTTTAAGTTATGGCTACGGCTTGAATACAGGCGTTTGGTGTTTGAATGTAGAACTCCCTGAAGGAGTCTGCGTTAGTTATACAAAACGCGTAAAAGGATACACAAGTTTTGCAGCGACATTTCGCCAAGTACGTCTCACTAGTTTAGTTTAAAGAACAATAAATACCGTTAAATATTAAGCCCCCTCTCAAATAAGCCCACTGTCTCTGATATGCCCTCTCTTTTCAGGGGAAGAAAGTTAATAAGCTCCCCATCTTTTTCAAGCCCTCTCTTTCCCCTTGTTATTAATTAATGATAAATGATAGACTGTATTAATCAGTCACGACGTAAAACTTCGTTTGGACTGATCCAGGATCACTTTTATTCACCAGCTGGAAGTTTGGATTTGCTTTTGATCCTCGGCTGCATGAACACCAACTTCTTGTACTTGAGCTTTTCCTCTTTGCATTCTAGTTCTTTATGGAGAACTGGTACCATCTTCTTTGCTAGATTGAATAAACCCCTTCTCAATTAAGCCCCCGCGGGCTTAAGAGAGGATTTACGATAAACAAGGGCCAAGGTGTAACATTTGGCATTATGGACGTTGCGTCAAGAGCAATAAAAAAATAGGACATATATCTGTTATTACTGCAAATAATAACAGATAATAATAACATCATGTCTTTTTAGCCACTGAGGAGGGGGACTTGGTGTAATAATAAAAAAATAATAAATAATAATAATAAAATATTTATATAGCGCTTATACTTTTAATCTTTATGCCCTATGCACTGGGCATTTAGTAGGTTTTTGTTTGATTGTGAAAACAGAAACCGGGGTAAACCGGGCGTTGACCCCCGGGAAAGCCAATGATAAGTGCATTAGTTTCACGAGGATGTACGCTTGCCCACGCAGCGTGAAATGAAAATTATTATCGCAGCAACTGCGATGTTTCATGACGACACGCCTACTGAATAATTATCTTTTTCGTTTAACAGATGTCTTGCAACTGGACAAGCTTAGTATCGTTTCTGAACCGAGTGTAAAATCCGCATATAAGGGAGAATCCGTTGAAGGCCCTAAGGACGACAATTCCAAGGATCCAGGTGAAGTGCCTATGGCATCGGCGAGTGGAATGAGAAAAATTCGTGCAGCAACCATGATGTTTGAAGCTAAGCACGAGGAATGCATTCGTGTGTTGCCCTATATAAAGGATGGTCAGATTGTGGTTCAGTTTTATGTGTATAGTGGGGAGTCTGGTATACCAAAAGATTTAGAGGAAGAAGCCCAACAGTTTTTTAAGGAAATGAATGTGAAGCTGGAATGGTCAGATCTTTATAACAACAGCGTCAACGTATTGAAGGTTCAACGACTCGAGTATTCATCTGAAAAACCCAAAACACTGACTGCTTCTCAGGTTGACAAAATGAATGACGTGATTGAAAAGAACCTTCCAGAACTTTCTAAGCATTGCAATATTACCTCTGTACAGGCCTCTTTCAAAATCAAAAATTCCACGCAAACAGATGAGCCTTGTATTACGCTTTATGTGCTTGGGAAAGGCTTTTTTCCAATTGGCGAGCGTAAGTTTCCAAATGCGTTGGGAGACTACCCCGTGGATGTTGTGAATGGATTCTGGACAAGAGCAAGTGGTGAGTATTGGGAACCAAACAGCGCACAAAAGCCAAGCAAAACCCTTTGTTCTGGCGTAAGTATTGGCGTACAGGGAGAAGAAGCAGCGGGGACACTTGGTGCTATTGTGAAAAACGGTAGTACATTTTATGCTCTTTCCAATCATCATGTGATGAATTCAGTCCAGTCAAATCTTATTGTCCATCCTTCACTCTATGACCACCTTAACTATCTGAGATATTACTTAGCACAATATAGACGTCACGTAAAAGATGTGACTGGTTTGGAAGCCCAGGGTTCAGTTAACGACTTTACAACACGGGAGGCACTGGTAAATAACTTCAAAGAGCTGAAGTTCAGAAAAGATATCCACGTCCAAGGCTACTCCACCGAGCGTCTGGAACTAATTGAAATGGCTGAGAAAGATTTTGAACAAGGGCAAGAGCCGCCAAGAGAAATAGGAGAGCGGGTCGTCGGCGTATTTGACAACTTTTTATGGACTGATGGCAAGGAGTACTTCATCGATGCTGCCATTGCAAAGTTGTTTGACGAAGAAGTAAAAAAATTAAAAGGCACGACAGCTAGATTGATTGGAAATGATGGCAAACCGCGTGGATGCAGTCCCGTAGACAAGATAGAAACCATACTTAAAAATCGACTTTGTAAGAGTGGCCGAACAACGGTGTATACCGAGATTGAGAACAAAATTCTTAGAGACAAAAACCATTTCACGACGCCGCACTATATGATTGGTTCACCAAGTTACGACCTAAGCGATCTTCCATTCATCAGTAATGAATTGAAAGAGTTCATTTGTAAAGATTGTGACGTAAACAAATTCGAAGTCACTGACAGTGGAGAACCTCTTTCCTGTGTCAAGTGCCATGAACAAGAAGCTAAACTCCGTAGTAGACATTTGCTTTGTAGGGTCTTGTGCATTTCAGAAGGAAAGAAAGTATTCGCAGACGAAGGAGATTCTGGAGCCGTGATCTTCGAAATCGACCAAACAGAAGGAGACGAAAAGTTCCTTTCTGGCCTTGGCCTTTTTTTCGCTACAGGCGTGAATCAATACCATCGCCTTACCTATGCCTCACCGTTAAAAATTGTTCTAGACGCTTTGACCAAAAAACTCCCAACAGGTAGCAATTTGGAGCTGGTTTCAAAGTTTTAAAGAACCCACGCTAGGCCATTCGTGTTTGAACGTTGTCAAGCAATCATCGATCATGTAAGAACAAAAATTTATATTTAGAAGGAACCACTCAGCGATTGTTTTATTTTACTGTGAACCAGGGTCTTCTGTTCTACATTGGAATCGAGAAGACCCTGGGGACAAGGTTGGCAATTGTTGATTATTTTCATCATGGGTAGTAACCAATAACACGTGTCATAATTCATTTACAATATTTCTTCGTTTCTTATTGGCTAAATTCTTACGCATAATTCATCATAAACAGCTACTGCCGACCAAATTTGGAAGAATTTTGCGATATGTGAAAATTGACGTCAATTGCGCAGCAAATTGTCAGATTATTGTACGGTTAACCGAGAAGACCTGGGGACAAGGTTGAGTTTATAAAATGGCCAAACTTTTCTCTCGTTTCGCTAGGAAGAAGTAAGCGAACTACTGGCTAAAAACATAGCAACAAGACAACTCGACCAACGACATCTACTATTTTGGGAAATATTTGCAGAACTGAACAACCCTTTCTCTCCTAAAATTGCCGATAAACATGCACTGTCGAAGATGAACTTAACATCGATGGAGGAAAGCATTTTTTAGCTTGTTCTTTAACTAGGAACTATTTTGAGGCCTAATTGGCCTCGGCGGATAACACCCTCCTCGATTTCCATAATTCTTCAATACGAAAGCCGAATTCAAAAATTGGTAATTATTATATGGCTGAATCCGTGAGCGGGCAAGATAAAGCGAATCCTTCGTTCTGATTGGCTACCCGAGCGGACAAGATCGGTCCATCATGCCCGCTCGGGATTTCCCGCGTTTTCCCCCGCAAGATAGAGTTCTGTTTTTTTGGCCATATAATAAATTCTTTATTGACCAAGCTTGTTCGGAACAAGATGGCTGGATATTGGCCTCGTTCTTTTTGCACTTTTATTGACCACGACTTCGTCCCCGCCAATATCCAGCCATCTTGACTGAACGAGCTTTGTCAATAACGCATATGTATTAGGGATTTTACCCTGATCGGTCGTTGTGTTTAACTGATTCTTGGTTTGTAACCACGTGACAATGCGGAAGAGAAATGCTTTTTTTCTTGATTAACAACATGGCGACCATGAAGTCACGTGCAAACCAGTAGTTTAAACCCTTCCCGTAACTTCCGTCAACTGACGAACAAATCATTATTGACAACACGATGAACATGAGTTTTTAAAAGTATATAATTAAGTTATTATATAGTGATATATTCACAATAATATGATTAAAATTTAGTACCAGTGTTAGTGATGTAAATGTGATTGATTATTCATACCTATCTGTTGATATAGTTTTCAAAAAATGAGGTTGCTCTCTTGATTCCGGTCCAAGTTTAGAATAAATTTGTTGCACTGTCGTCGGAGTGTTTTGTGGTAGTGCTGAATTTTTTTATTAAAGCTGGTACAATTTTCCTCTCTCCCAAGCGAAGAGAACCCTTTCTTTAGTTTCCTAGTTTCTTATATTAGTTCCAGTACAAATGTACCTTCTGTGAACTGGCGAACAAATCAGCGGTGACAATTCGCTGAACCTGCGGTTTGAATTGTTCGTAATCAGTTTACGTATTTATATATCTAGTGATGACTATTCATAATACTACTATTTCAATGTACTACCAATGTTATTTTTTTACTGGACTTGGAGAGATTATTCCTGCCTTTGATTTTCTTCCAAAAAATTAAGTTTGCTGTCTGGATTCAGAGCCATTTAGTAAAACTGTTGCGCGTGCTGTTTATTAGCAGTGTGTAATAACAGTTCAGTGTATTTACTCCGATTGTACAATATACAGTTATGAATTTATAGTGCGTCCATGCAAATTAATTAGAAATGGTCGCTATCTGGATTCAGATCAAGGTTTAAAGTTAATTTGTTGTATGAACTGTTCATTAGCAGTGACTAGTAACAGTTCAGTGTGTTTACTACGATTGTACACTATACAGTTATGAATTTATAATGCTTCCATGCAAATTAATTAGAAATGATCGCTATCTGGATTCAGATCAAGGTTTAAAGTTAATTTGTTGTATAATCTGCTCATCAGCAGTGACTAGTAACAGTTCAGTGTGTTTAGTGATATTACTCTTATCGTTCCTTTTTTGTTAGAGCTAATTTACTAGCTGAGGAAACATAAACGCATCTAAGTGCAGCGCATGTCTCTCAAGTGTCTCATCAACATTTTTATTAGCTGTCAAAGAAATCAGCATAGTGCAGTATGGTAAAATTGAGCTTTTAGATTAAGTTTTATTATCAGGATTAGTTATTGTAGCTTAATGCAGATAAGGTTATTATCTATTACCTATTTGCGTTTTAAGTACTGTTTAAAAATTAAGATGTAGGTTAATAAATTTGTTACATGTACTGGTCAAAGACATGCGATAATTATAGTTACAGCTGTAAATTTTTTTACGTGAATTACTGAGGCAGTACTGTAAGGCAATTTAATCACCGCTTTCTACCAAAGTTTAGATTCCATGAACTAGGAAACAAATCATAATGCCTTAATATGGTGAACCTACGGTTTAACACAGGTCACCAGAGCGTAATATGATAGTTTGTATGAGTAAAAAAAACCTGGAATAACTACTTTAGTTAACTTTATCAAAACAAATCCTCAATAAGGGTGTTGTTCTCTACCTTTCTACTATTAATCGTGTGTGTAATATGTGGGGAAAAATTTGTAGTTCACTCTAAATTGATCGTTAAGTTTTGCAAGAGGGAGAACGAGGCGGCTCCATAACTCACCGCAGTTTAATACCATACCGTAAATGCTGTAATATGTAGTTCCAGAAAATAGGGCGTTTTTGCACTAGATCCCCCTCCTTGAAATTTCCATTCCAGGGGGTGCTTGTCATACCCCCCTCCCCCCTGGAATTTCCATGATGTTCCATGTTGGTTGCGGGGAACTCCCTAGAAATAATATTTCCGTCAAAAAAACTGTTGCACTAAGCTATTATGCGAAATGTAATATTGTTTCAGAGATAAAGTGAGAGAAAAGTTTCTTATTCATGTTAATACAAGGTCTAATAAACTCAATTTTGCCCTGTAGAGGCCTTTCTACGCTAATAATTAACGGGTGAGCCACTACCAAAGAGTAATAACTCGCCCCCGGAAAAAAGACCTCAAAAAGCCATTCCCCTCCCATCGCCTCGGAAATTGCCTCCATTTGGACCCCCATCCCCAGAGAATAGGCCATTTCCGAGTTCTCCCGCCGGCCTCTACTGTATATGAAAACGAGGTTAAGTGCTCAGCCTTTGATAAGTAAACGATTTTTCATTCTCATGCAAAAGAAAGGTTTTGCACTTGGCCGCATTTGAAAGTGAGGGTTTTTAGAACTCGGAAGTGGCCCATTTGCTTTGTCGTTTCTGAGGATTGTATGGATATTTTCTGGAGCCACACAATAGACGCCCGGGGTATTTATTTACTTTTATAGGGGTCCAAGCAGGGGCGTTAAAATAGAGAGATAGTAGGCTCTTAAAAGATAGGCGTTTATTCTCATAACTGTAGCAAGCTCAACAAAAGTTCATTCGGAGAAAATGTCAGTAGCGTTTACAAATAGCAAATTATCCAGTCCATCCATTGATACTTCTTGGCCGTCTACAGATCCATATTGCTCTTCCAAGTCTCAGTACACAGTCAACGTCGATATCAGAACCCTCATTCATGGCCATTGTGCTGTCATCGTTAGCCTGGCCTACTCCGCAGACATTCTTAACCTTCGGTAAGGACTTTACTAATGGCCTAGACTATGTGTGGGCTGGCTACCACGCAGGCAATCTTAGCCCATCCTTTCTTTGAACTTGACAGTAAACAAGATTCAATACGCAAACCTTCAGTTAAGCAGGCAAAGAAACTGACTAAATTGAATGACTTTGCTCATTTTTTAACTCGTGGGTACGCGCGAGCGTACCACGAGTTATTGCAGGGACTGAGATATGCAAATGAGTCACTCACTCACTCGTAGTAGACGCACTTCGTAATTAATCGGGTCCGAACTCGAGAGCTCGAACATCTATCGTTTCCAAAGAAGGACGCGCTCGCCGAAGTTCGGTAGCATCAAATTCCTCGCTGCGAGCGTGCATCGTGCGCTACAGCACGGTTAGGATAGAGGTCTTAAGACTAGCAGGAATCTTTCAAATTAGTACGATTCAAAAGCCTTCGACCCGTCCAGGCGTTAAACTTGACAAGAAGATGAACATTTGCTCTTCGACTCCTTCAACTTCTACGCTGGCTTGATCTCCTACCTTGTAGCACTGTAGTAGGCTATGTGTATGAATGAATTTATGGCGGTCAGTATAAAACACGGACTGCGGACTACGGACTGCGGACTGGGTATAAAATACGGACTATAAAATACGGACTGGTGAAATGTATGGTATTTTCTTCTTAAGGACTCCTCAAGATCACGGGGGGAAAATGGATGTGAGTTTGAGCATTACCTTTTTAAAATAACAGCGGAAATCGAGATAAGAAAACATAAGCTAATGTTTTGCGTCCTACTTCGCGGAGGAGTTGTGTCGGCTTTGTATGAAATGCGTTTATTTGTCAGTAGCCTGGTTTCAATTAGCCTTAATTTCATCCCATTGCTTCGGGTCGTTTTTATGGCTCGATCGTTTGCCCCGGTCGTTTGCCGGCGGAAGTTCCATGAAAAAGGTATTAAATTTGAGACTTTTCGCCAAATCACGTGACCATCCTCAATGGCGTAGTCACGCGGCTATGTGAGGTCGGGTCAAACCGAAGGTACCGGGTTCAAATCCCGCTAATGACCTTCTTTTTCCCTTCTTCCTTTTTTTTCTTTTTTGTTTCGTCTTGTTTACTTATTTGTTTTGCTGTTTTTTTTGTTTTGTTTTTAAATATATACTTAAATAACTGTTACTAAAGTGCAATAAACAGCAAGAAAAGTATTGTGTTTCCAGAACAAGGATAGTACATTTATAATATGAATTTCTATCATTTTCTAAAATTCACTGTGGGAAAACCAGAGGTGATAACTAATTGATTATTTTCTAAACAACGTACCCACGAGTTGACGATAGTCTTTCTTTGATTTTATCTCCTATTATTATGGAGTAATTGTCAAAAGTGAGGGGGGGTACTCCATTAGACAAGGGGCGTCTAATGCAAACTTAAAAGCGAAAGGGAGGCGTTTTTTTTGAGGAAGGGTGTGAATTGATAGCCTATTCCGGGTTGCCTCAAGCCTCTTTATCAAAGCGAGGCTAAGTGTAAAGCGATTGATATAAAAATGTTTTTATATTTTCGTGTAAAACTAATTTTAACAAGAATACTGTTTTGCACTTTAACCTCTTTTGAAAGTGAGGATTTTTGAAACTCATGCACCTTGTTCCCCCCAAAATTTTGCATAACATCGTGTTCTATTTCTCATTGGACGAATGTTATACCTAGGAGAAATTAGAGACAGTGGTTATCCAAAATTTGGGGGGTAAACGAGGTGCATTATGGTCTATGTGAAAATGCTCAGTGCCCTTTTACAACGTTTACTACGACAAACCCTGCGTTATTTTTTTTTTGTTTTTCTCTTCTTTGTGCTGAGTGGCTGATTTGTTTTCTTCTCTTACAACCGTCAACGCCTATAAATGCATGCAAAAGTGGTTTTAAATTAAATTAGCAAAATTTGGCCTCTTTGTATTACCTTTTTCATTTTTCCTTTAGCATTTTTTAAGACGACGTTATTGCAAATAGGTGCACCGTCAGGTTATTTAATAGAAAAGTTCTGACTTATCCCAATCACAGGCTTGGATGAATTTTGCCGGAAGAGTTTTCAGCGGAATAAGCGATTTTTGAAGTGAGCATTCTTCCCACAGAATGAGGTGTTTTCGAGCATACTTTGACGCTGATGATATGCTCAACAGACGTAAGAAAAATTGAAAAGTAGTAGAAAACAAAAACTCCAGCTTTTGCCATGTTTACAATCTCAGTGTTACCTTTTAATGCAATGTATTGACTCCACAAGAGCAAAGATCCTTAGACTCCCGGCCCGGCCGTCTTGTGTACAATTGGGTTCGGTGGCTGTTGATCTGACCTTTGCCGATTGCTCAACTGGCGGCGCTTGTTTACCAGACGCTAAACGTTTAGGTGGTAAGTTTGATTCATCGTTTATTGTTTGTGTCTGTTTATTCCACCCTAGTTATAGTTGCTGCGTCCAATAGCTAGCGTTCGAACGGTCACCTTTCAAACAAATGTTCGATATTATTATGCATTGTAATTAGTGTCTATCCGTCTAACTGGCTCAGGGCCTACATTTACAGTGCGACTACTGTAACCGGGGCCACCTAGACAAAGTTGACCAATTGGATGACAGGAAAATAACAATACATTCCGAGAAAGTTGGTTGTCAGTCATAATTACCACGGAAAGAAATCAACCACATGGATCGAAATCAACCAATTACAACCTACCCACTGAAGAAAGCCTGTTTCCTGAGAAGTCCTTGAGTGTTCACGGAGGCGAAAAATGTAAACATATTTAGTCATATTTTTGACTTGACGTCGCACTCAAGTGTTTATTGCAAAGTTCGGCAATGCAAGCGAAGAAATTGCTGGTAGATGACAAAAGAACAGCTTGAGTCAAATAACTATGTCTCCTGGGCGTTGTATGAAAAAAGAATAGAAAAACATTATCTGATGAAACATTTTGCTTTCTTGAAAAACGTTCAATTCTGTGCTTCAGGTAACATTTTTTTCTTACGGGCTGCTGATTGGCCCACGAGCAACTTTCTTGGAATGTATTGTTATTTTCCTGTCATCCGATTGGTCAACTTTGTCTAGGTAGCCCCAGTTATAATAGTCGCAGTGTACTTCTGAACATCAGTGCATTCTTAAGATAATTCAGTTATCTGCTACCAGATAACAGAATAACCTACAAGGTTGCGTGCGCAATACATTACCAAGTATACGTTTAGCGAGTGGCTATTTCAATCGGGAATCCTTTTGTTCCCAAAAAAACTCCTTACGAAAGCTGTATCTTCCTTGTAAACTTCTGAAGGGGCCCGGCGCGCATGCGTGAAGACATCGAGCAAGAGGGGGCTTGATAGATGTCGGGGTGGTAAATAAAAATACAGCTCATGGAGAGCCTTGTTTGTATCAGTAACAAAGTCGTTGCCTTAGGGGATGCATGCGGAATAGAATCCATGTATCCGAAATTTGCTAATACATTAAATTGTTTAGATCTGAACTGTTCAATTAAGAAATTAAAGAAACAAGTAAATTCTTTCTTCAATATAAAAATAGCCTGCCCAGCTGACTGTTTTGTCTGGCAAGCACGCAAATGAACGGCGTAAGCGCGCTTCGTGAGCCTGCCGCTTGCTGTTGCTTCCCTCCACTGGCTCTCACCTTCTAGGCAGGCTATTTTTAGAAAGTTGAATAATTGTTATTTAAACAAGGTTATCATCTTTGCTGGATCGACTTCTAAAGCCTTTCTTCTAAATTTCTCTTGCCACTAAATCATGTGAAAACACGAAAAACGAGGCTCAATGTCTCAGGAGCTTCTTCGAACCTTGTACGTGTGGCATATTATATCCTAAAAATGTTTGAGATCGGATTCCTGGAGCTAGCCAGAAAATTTCTTGATTTGAATGATAAAATAAATATTTTTTCATTACCTTCACTACATTCGTTCTCCTCATTTTAGTTATAACTTAATATGTGAATATACTGAAATTATGTCTCCTTTTTGCATGTATACATTGAATCTGTTTCATTCCTTTCGTTTAGAGAAGAAGTTAGAGAGGCTGTTGTTGGATAGCCTGCTCTCCGGGCACTCTGGCGACAGGGTGGAAAAAGGAAGGAGAGTTTGCAACTGTGTCTCTGGAATTTGAATACCTGCATCGAAAAAGTCGATGCGGAATGCCTATTGGCGGAGATGGCATTATTGGCTTGCACTTTCTAATGTAAAATGCTTCATAAAGGCGTAGATTAGAGGGGTCGCTTTCTCATAATAATCTTGACCTCACTACTTGTTCAGGGCATTCTATTTCTGCTTGTTGGTCGCTAAAATCCTTGCTCTTGAGGTCATGTGTAGCGCGCAAGAT